CACTAAATCTATATCGAGATGGAGCTAAGAAAACTCCCTGCACAAGCTACGAAAATCTACACAAGGAGGATGACAGTCCCAATCCTCTCTGAGCTGGCAAGAGTGTATTTATTCCCTTCCAAAACTGCACTATGAAAAGAAACTAAAACAAAACACCAGGGTTCAAGCAGAGGCGAACTACCGTGTTTGTGAGGGTGAGGGGAGGGTGCAGTTGCTAGAGTGTTTTTAAGACTGGGAAAGACATCAAGATTTCACACATGTGAAAGGCTATTACAGAAGAAGGATTAGATTTGTTTTACATGAATCCAGAGGCATCAGAGCCCACATAAAACAAAGACAGCTGGAACTCAAAAGCCTCTCAGATGTTCCAAAGAAGCCGGCAAGAGACACACAGGAATACAGTGTCACTAGGGACACCAGAGTATGAACTGTGGTGTGAAACAGAAGAATGGAGTAGAGACTAAAACTTCATTTATACTGAGAATCTAATATCTTTAAGATTGCCCTGGCTCCTCTCACAAACCAAGGCTCTACAGACAAAATGCCACTTCTTTCATCTACCTTACTTGCTCCACACCTGCAGCCTCAGCCTGTAGCTTGAAGAGAAACGTGACTGCAGATACTGGAAGAACTCCTAGGGTACTGAATTAGGGATCAGGAGGCTTTGCTATTAGCTCAGTGTGTTACCCTGGATGAATAATTAGGCTCTATAGAACTCAAATCTTTATAAAATGAGGGAACTGTATTAGGATATTTCCAACTCTATTTAAGTCTTGAATTTCTGAGCTGAGGTGCACTAGTTACCTCCTGTTAAATCTCACTGAATTTACAATAAAAAATTAAAGTGGTACTGTCCACATTTCTAAAACTAACAGTCAAGTAATACTTGAATGATTCCTAACAAACTCCATCTTACTTAAAAACTTCAAAACTAAAAAGGATATTTTAATCTTTAACATAATTTTTAAAAAGGAGGGGTTAAACCATATAAAATAGAAACAGGATTAAAGAAGTTACTAGGATTAGATGATAAGTATATTTAACTAGCACAGCACAAATTTTAAAAAATTGTGTCCTGTTTGTAAGACTTTGTACTTAATAGTTAACACAACATAGAAAAGTTAAAAATAAAACTTGAGCTCAGGCTAACTTTAAGTGCTATGGACAAAATGAAAAGGAGTTCTATGAAACTAACTTCACAGGCTGATCTGACCATAAATTCCTAACTGGGCAGGTCATGGTTGGTAGTCATGCCCCAGGCCTATAACTCCTTCAGTGAAAGGTTTTAAGCCAGCCCTACCCATTGTTCTTGTACGTGTAGGATAACACACCTTTGAAATAACAGCAGTCATACCCCTAAAAGGGGGTAGCCCTCAAGAGGCCACATAATTTCATTAACTGTCCTGTAATCCAATCTCTGCCTTGCTTTCTCTGATCTTCCATGTACTTCCTCCCTTAATTTCAAATACCTAAAAGAAGCTGCAAAACTGTTAGTCTCAAGAGCATTTGAGATCTTGCTCCTTGGCATATGTTGTCAGTTTGGCTCCAATAAACTCTTATGAAAATTCTCTACAGGTTTGGACATTTCTTATGTCAACAGTGCTTCTAATACTTTCTGGCATGCTCAATGGCTTACTTTTAAAGCTTGCCAGAAAGGAGACATTTAAATACTATGGAGTTCAAGACCTACGAGATATGTTTTTAAAATGAATTTATATTAAAACTTTGTGTAACTATAGGATTTTCTAGGCACCTAGAATTTTACCTTCAAAGGCAAATACCAAAAATATAATCAATGAGTCAGTTGACTAATAAAATTTCAAGAGTTCAAGCTAAGCATCAAAAATGCAATTTACAAAAATTGCATCCATAATCTGAGGTGCTCTGGAGTGCATTTCAGTTTTTCCCCCCTCTTCAATGACCACTAGCACTACTGAGCTTCTATCAAGTCTCCTGATAGGTGGCAATGAGGGAATTCAATAGCCAATCCTTGTCTTCTGTGGAGCTACAATCTGGGAACTTTTCTTGATCATGTGTCCTACACAATGAATGGAGCAAAAATAAAATCACTTTTATACTTGTTCTCAGAGACCTTATCTCTCTACATTCTGTTTTTGCAACACATCTTCACATATTCAAAAGGTAAAATAAAATTTTCACAAAACCTTTCTACAAGTTCCAATTTGCTGCCCCGCCCCCACCTCTCCAAAATCACTCGATCTGTGATAAATGAGAGAAACTGTGTTCCAGCTTTGGTCTCTTTTTAGAAGAAAAAAAAAGTCTTCATTTGGAAAGAAAATGAGCTAGAATACCTTTGAGACATGCTCAATATATCTCATGTCTTTTGTTTCATCACAAATGTGTGGTAGGTTATCATTCAAGGTCTCACCTTTTGTTTCAAGGATTAAAAGTCTACATATAAATATTTTTTTCTAAATATAAATCTTAAAAACACTATGAATAGTTGGTCTAAAACTGCCAAATGAACACATAGGTAACATTTTAAAAGCCTGTGTGTATTTGGAAAAGCCTTTATTTATTTAAAATCTGTTTTGCATTAAAGTAGTAGCCTCCTCTCTACCTGGTGTTCATTATTAAGCAAGCAATGACACTTATGCCAACTGTGCATAAAGAGAACACAATGCCAGAGCCCTCTACTACCAGTGTAAGTGTGACCAGATACAGTTGTGAAAATGTGTTTAAGCAGTAAAATTCTGCATACACATTCACAGAGAACATTCCATTAATCTCTAAGGAATTCGTGTGTTTTTTTCTAACTTTATTTATTTATTTTTAGAGAGGGGAAAGGAGGAAAGGGGCAAAGAAACATCAATGTGTGATTGCCTCTTGAGTGCCCCCCACTTAAGACCTGGCTCAACCCAGGCACGTGCCCTGACTGGGAATTGAACTGGTGACCCTTTTGTTCACAGGCTGGCACTCAATCCATTGAGCCACACCAGCCAGGACTAATCTCTAGGAATTAAAGTTTGAGGGATTCCCTTTAGCAGAGAGTTCTAACCATCAAGCCTGTTGCTGATGAGAGATAGTGGTAAAGCTCCAAGAAAAAGACTAGAGTGAAAAGATCTGATTCTAGTCTCAGCTCTGCTACTCATCAATTGTGTGACCTTCAGAAAGTCCAATTCTTTAAAAGTCACTATCTGCCCTGGCCAGGTAGCTCAGTTGGTTAGTGTGTTGTCCCAATATGCCACAGTTGCAGGTTCGATCCCTGGTAAGGGCACACACAAGAAGCAACCAATGAATCCATCAATAAGTGGAACAACAAATCATTATTTCTCTCTCTCTCTCAAATCAATAAATTAAAAAAAATTTTTTTAAAGTCACTATCTCAGAGATAAAGGATTAGTGAAGATTAAATTAAAAAAATGAACAGGAAAATGTTATACAAATTGTAGGTATTGCTTCAGTTTACATAAATACCTTCTCTCACACACAAATGACCTAGCATATCATCCCCTTATTGCTTTGAAAGCCATCCTCTGCTATGCTGTTCACCATCCAACCACAGACAATCAAGCTTTCCCAGACACAGTTCTATGCTTCTGCTTGTTATCTGACTTGCTCTCTGATCCTCATTTTGAAAACATATACTCATCCTCCAAGGTGAAAGTCATCTCAAGGTAGACTTGATGAATCCTTATGGAATCTGTCACATTTCTCTGATTTCCTAAAGTGCTTCTCTTATATCTTAGTGATAAGTGACTCAGACACACTGTATTGATAGTTGTGTACTGATCTGACAGTAAAGACCTGGGAGGGGGCAGTATCACATTTTATTTACCTTCCTTTCCCCTTATGCTTGGAATTTGAAATTTAAGACCAGTTTTGCAACTAAGTAGTAAAGTCAGCCTTTCTAGATATGTCAAGGAGATGACTGAGCTTAAATTACTTTTCTACAGATTAATACAAAACCAGAGAGAACTGAAATTCTACATCCACGTTTCAAAATCTTTAGAGTTTTCATATTGAATAATACTTACACATAGCTTTCATCACTGAATTCCTGTTTAGAAAAAAATTCACTACCATATAAATGATGATAAAGTCAAGAATAAACCCTAAAGCTATTACCTGAAAATTATATTTTGGGGAATTTTCATTTGTTAAAACAACTAACATTCCAGAGTTTGTTCCCCAATTTATTAATTTTGTAAAAAAACAGCTGGCAGGTGTGGCTCAGTGGATTGAGTGCCGGCCTATGAACCAAAATGTTGCCCGTTTCATTCCCAGTCAGGGAACATGCCTGAGTTGTGGGCCAGGTCTCCAGTTGGGGGCACGTGAGAGGCAACCACATATTGATGTTTCTCTTCCTCTCTCCCTCCATTCCCTTCTCTTTAAAGTAAGTAAATAAAATCTTAAAAAAAAAAGAAAAAGAAAAACAGAGGTCTACATAACAACTTGCTATATTTATATAAAGAACTTTTTACTTTGGTGCCAACAGCTGTGCCAGCAGCAACAAACCAGTCCAATCTTGTACTATCTCCACTATCTGACTCAGCAAGCTAGAAGGGCCACAAAGGAGCAGGTTCTTTACTTGTGTAAGTCTCCTCAAGGACAGGAATTCTATCTTGACACATTCCTAGTATCTCCAGCATCTAACTCTGCCCTGCAAATAGATGGCATTCTTCAATGTTTACTGAATTAGCACTCCTGAATTCCACTCTCTAGTCAATGTGACCTTACTATATGTTCTGGAAAAAAAAGATGCCCAGCAAATCTCATATCCTCAATTCCATCACAAATGGGTGGTAGATTATCACCAAGTTCTCACACTTTGCAACAGATACTAGTGGTAAAAAAGTCTACAGCATAGATTTTCAGGTCTATTCTTAAAATAATATATCAACATATCTCTAGTAACAACAACTTTGAAAAGCCCAACCACATGCTTATAAGCAACCTATGGTAGCTTTCTCATTACTCTTACTTAGAGAAGGACGTTTCTGGATCTTCACTGCTTCAAAACCTAAAGATGAACTTACCATCATCTAAAGTGATGTCCTGTAGACCAATTGTTGAAAAGTTAGGTTCCTGCTCTTCAGGTTCAGGTTTAATGTTCACAGTTGCTTTGTCAGATGAAAATGAAGCTGGATCACACAAATTCTGACATATTAAGGATGAAGGTGCAGAAAGACCTCCCTGACCTGTACTTTGTGCTTGAGCTGAATGCTGTCCAGAATGCACTCTGGTGGCTAGAGTTGGTGATGAGGCAGTTCCTGAGCTAGGAGATTGGTAAGGCATAGGCTGCAGCTGAGGAGACGGGGGTCCAGAAAGTGGTGAACTGGCCAGGGTATGAGAAGCTGCTGGGGAAACTGTTGTAGCAGACCCTAATTGTGAAGAACCATATGTAATGGACTGTAACTGAGGGGAAGGCTGACCTGTGGCCTGGTCAGCCACTGGAGAAGAAAGAGATCTTTGTCCTGTGTTTGAACAATGGTATTCCATCGACTGCAGATGAGGCAGGGTATGCACAGAATGAGGTATATGGGTTAAGATATGTCCTGGTGAGGCTGAGTTTGAAGAATGAAAGGGTATGGATGATGGTGGTTGGCAGCCAAGATTTATTAAACTAGGAAGAACTGCATCTTGCTGAAACAAAACTGGAACAAATTCCTGACTAGAGGCAGCATTAATAGGAAGACAAGTTGGTCCATTGTACACAACATTAGTTTGCATAGGCTCATAGGAAGACCCCACAGGAGGTGGTGGTGTGACTTGAAAAGGCTGGTGCATGACTGAAGAAGGTATCATGTGCTGCTCTTTACCAGCACTCTCATCCCTGCACTGCAACTGTGGCAGATGAGATGATGTTACCATGGATGCATATGTTTGCTGGATGGGACAAACCAAGCTTCGCTGTGCTGACAGTACACTGTCACATCCGTGTCCTGTATCTGAGGAAGGCCTCTGGGTCTGGGCAGGATGAGGCACAGGCAATGATGGAACTGAAGCCAAGTCAATTTCCTCTCTGTGTTCTTGCTTCATCAAAACTGGAAAAAAAAAAAGATTAAATCAAATGCCATTATATAATACAAAAAAAATATTATAAGCCTTCATTCTAGGCTACACAACAATAGCACAAATCCAAGTTACAGATTGCCTGCAACAATGGAGAGAGAATGCAAAAAGAAAAAGAAGAAGAAAAACCACCACCTTCAAATGCCTTCAGAGAAGGCAGATAATATAAAAAATATGTGAAGTCAACAAGCATAGGCAACAGGGAATGGTTCCTGCTGTAAAAGTATTCAAGTGAATAAACAACAACAACAAAGGCCATGCTTTTAAGCATTGCAGCACACTGTATTATCAATGAAGATTTCACTTTATCATTCCATCAAGCAAAACAAAATATAAATGCCAGCTATTATCCCTTATCACATAAAAAAAAGTGCAGATTCATGTTTTAAGATGAGTCTACCCGATGAAAGGACTATTCAAAGGAGGATCAATGTATTTTGCTTATTTTGCTTAATATGTACACCAAAACAGAAAAGAACCACCAGTTGATTTGTGTGTCAACACAACTGATTTCACTGTTTCTCTTAGCAAGCACTTCAGTCCTTTTCTAGAAATTATCTACTTTAGCTTCATATTGAACTGCTATAACTCATTTAAAACTAATTTTCCTAAGTTCACATCTCCTTGTTCCTTTCAAGTTTGTACTTATTAACGTAATTAAAAATTTCATAATCTTCACAAAATAGAACTACAATTGACCCTTGAACAACACAGGTTTGAACTGTGCGAGTCCACTTATACATCAATTTTTTCCAATAAATATCTGTGCTGTTTTGGGAGTCTGCGGATGGGGAGGGTCGAATGTAATTCATTTTATATCAAAAGAAAATAACTATGAGACCCAAAGCAAGGTAAAAATCTCATTTGACCATTTTACCAAATCCTTGCAAGTACAATTCTTTTCACGTTAAGTGTGGTCTTAATCTGAGGAAGTGAATTAAGACCATCCTGATAATATCTTTTATTGTAGAAGAGGCAACTAATGAAGAACTTGTTTGGGGGCATTTAGGTTCTACACTTTAGTCTGGCTTCCTAGCAAGAACAGCATGGGCTCATCATTTATCCACTTAAACCTCTAAAGCTGGCAACTGGTGAGCCAACAACCCCAAGGACAGAGAGAAAAGTATATCCCCAATCCTCTTGTTGCTTCTGTCACAGTGCTCGTATTCCTGACCCAGTCCTCCATCCAGCTTTTGATTCTTGTTCAGGTGTTCCAAATACAGTTCACTATGTCTACTGGCTCCTGATCTAATGCCTTTTTTTTTTTAAATCCTCACCTAAGGATACGTTTATTGATTTTAGAGAGAGAGGAAGTTGGGAGAGAAAGTGAGTGAGAAAGAAACATCAAGCCCTGGCTGGCGTAGCTCAGTGGATTGAGCACGGGCTGCGAACCAAAGGGTCGCAGGTTCGATTCCCAGTCAGGGCACATGCCTGAGTTGCAGGCCGTGATCCCCAGCAACCGCACATTGATGTTTCTCTCTATCTTCCTCCTTTCCTTCTCTAAAAAGAAATAAATAAAATCTTTAAAAAAAAAGATGCTTCCTTAATATTAAAAAAAAAAAAACAAACAAACACCAATATGAGAGAGAAGCATTGATCGGTTGCTTCCCGTATGCACCCCAACCAGGGATTGAACCCACAATCTAAGTATGTGCACTGACCTGGAATTGAACCCGCAAACTTTTGGTGTGTGGGATAACGTTCCAACCAACTAAGTCACCTGGCCAGGGTTCTAAAATCTTAACGTACTTATTTTTCTTCTGACTTTGGCAGAATTAGAGATTTCTCCCTGGACCAGTGAATTTTTTCCCCTCTTCTACTTCAACTCTACTCTGGTCCCAGGAAAACCACAGTAAATTCTATACCCAAAGTTACAGTTCTACGTAAGGAGGGAGAATATCAAGAAAGCCTACTCTCATCCTTGAGCAGATGAGGCCTGCACTAAAAAGGAGACAGAGGGACTGAAAACTACAGCATAACATCCATCTTTTTTTGCATGATCCAAACCTTATTTCTATGTTCCTGACCCGTATCTTCATATCTAGACTGAGAGTTCTGCTTTGCTAAACCAAGTGTATTTCCACACTGCCAAACCAAGTATCACCCTTTGGTCTGTAAGGGATTCAGACTCCAACCTGACCGAAAGGAAATCCCCATTGCTCATCTATGGTAACTTACTCTTGTTTGGAGGGACATAACATTTGAGAGACCTTACAATATCTAGAATAAGCTGAGTTTTAAAACAGACTAACTCTACCTTTTGTGTTATATATGCTCCTTTTCAAATCTAGCATGTTGATGGATGGAGTGATATAGAAAAATTCTCTGGTGTTATGGTTTTCAAAGTATGAGAAGCCTCATGCTCTTCTTCAATTAGTGAATGTAGAAGAGTAGAATCCAAAGAGTAGGAACTCTCTGAATTTCCTCTTCCAGCACAAATAGGGCACGTAAACTTGCTTTCCTCCTTTTTTTATATATTGGCTTTTTGCATAAAAATTGAAGAATAGAATAATTTAAGCAATTTGAAAATCATTAATTTGGCTGTATATCCTCATTTCATAGAAAGGTTAATCAGTGGGTACAGTCTGGGGCAGAACTGAGATCTGATATCCATCCTGATTGTAAGGGAAGTTTTCTCTCCCAATCAAAACCACCACAATCCAAAAGTCAGTCTGTCCAGTCAACTATTTACAACACAGAATATTTTTTTCCCATAGGCAAAATAGTGTATTATACACAAGAATCTGGCTCTAATGCTGCTCTTAAAAGCTCCATTATTCCAAAACCAGAGCTCAGATGATACCTCCAGTACAAAAAAACTTCTGCTAGGCTTCAGATGGAGACACATTCCCCTCAACAACTTCAGGGAAGCAGGGGTAAGGGTGAGGCTCCCCCATCAGACGTTCTGGAGCTGGTGGCTGGGAAGAAGTTCAGGCAGCACCACTAAAAAAGAGCTCTGTCTCTATTAACTATCTTCATCTTATAAAGTAAATTGATTGTGGGACCAATAATGCTAAATAGCACTTTTAATTTTCAAAAAATTTGAAAGGTTCAGACATTTGCAATTAATGATTATTTCTCTACTCATATTGATACTGGTCAAATCCCTATTGCTAGGGGGTTGCCAAAAATAATAACTAACAAATCCTTTAATAAAAAAACAAGAAACTTATGACTACCTAAAATTTTTGTAGGTAAAATTTTAATAGGAATTATTTGCCACAAACATAAAAGGCTAAAACTTTAATATAAAAAACACACAAATTAATAAGACACATGAAATAACTCTAACATAAAGACAGGGTCAAATACTAGGATACAAAGAAGCTATTAAAATTCTGCAGAACTCTATCTGCTGATGAGAAAAAATAAATATGCTCATACTACAAAATTAGTATATATGATATTGTTCCATTTCTATTTTTCAAAAGTTGTGTCTATATATGGGTTAAAAGGATCTAGAAGGACAGAATGATAGTTTCAGATGGAAGAAAATTTGGGTGTTTTAAAATATTTTCCCAACTTGTCTTTATAAAAAATACACAGTAATGTATTTGTTTTTATAAAAATTTTATTCAAAATTTCATAAAAAAAAGGTCAAATGCTACAGAGAAAAAAACAGCAATCAACCAGAACAAGGACTGTCCAAACACTCCTGTGTGTCCGTCCATTCTTCCTTCTGTTAGTATGCCACCTGATTTGTATTCTGTCAACTGTAAGGCCAGTGATGACAGCTGTAGTCCAATCCAATATTCTCTCTGCACTCTGAGGGCCCCACTGATTTTCATTCTCTCATGAAATGCCTGTAAGGACACTGCCTTTATATTGTCCTCTTGGTTTATGAGCTAACAATGTAAATGCATTACATTCTTCTTTCTGTTTATCATTCAATTACTACCACTATGATGGTGGTAATCAAAACCTCTAATCTGCCGACACTATTGTTCCCCCCATCCATTCCCAGCGGCCCTCTCCCTTCTTATTCAGGTTAGACTTTACAGTCCACATCTCAACAGCATTTGATAAGACTCCTGGACTGTATGTCATTAGTTGCTCTTTGTAACAACTGTATCAAACTTCTCCACACTCTTCAAACTGCCATATCACCACACTCCCCTCTGCTCACAACAGGAGTCTTCACATGTCATTCTTTACAGGAAAAAAAAATGACGCTATCATATGGAAACCCCCTAAATTATCCAATACTATATCTACAAACCTTCCTAATGCACATCCATAGTGTTCATTTTCTTTACCTTCCCTCCTATTCTCCTATCTAAGGCTCATTCTAACTTCGGTATTTTAAATCCTGTGTCCTTCCAACTTTCTCAGGAACCTGATAATCCTTTATCCTCATTAATGCTCTCTCCTTTGTGCATTCAAAACACTACCTATTGAATTACCTCCCCCCCTCCCCGCAAAGATTTTATTTATTTATTTTCAGAGAGAGGGGAAGGGAGAAAGAGGGAGAGAAATATCAATGAGAGAAAGAAACACTGAATGGTTGTCTCTTGCACACCCTGAATTGGGGACCTGGATGGGAATCCAACTGGCAATCCTTTCGTTTGCAGGCCAGTGCTCAACCCACTGAGCACATTAACCAGGGCAAATCACCTTTTGAACATTAAGCCCCTCTCTCTCTCTCTCACACACACACACACACACACACACACCCTCTCACACTCCACAGCCTCACAGCTAATAATTTGGAAACACTGAGCACTGACATCTTACAGAGATAGAAGAAACATGGGGAAAATAATTTTATTTTTAACTTTTTAATGTATTGAGTATATATGACATATAACATTGTGTAAACTTAAGGTGTACATGTTAATTTGATATATTTATATATTGTAGAAAAAATATTTGAGCCCTGGCTGGCGTAGCTCAGTGGATTGAGCGCAGGCTGCGAACCAAAGTGTCGCAGGTTTGATTCCCAGTCAGGGCACATGCCTGGGTTGCAGGCCACGGCCCCCAGCGACCGCACATTGATGTTTCTCTCTCTCTCTTTCTCCCTCCCTTCCCTTTCTAAAAATAAATAAATAAAATCTTAAAAAATAATAATAATATTTGAAACACAAATTTGATGTCATCCCTGTTAAACCTCACTGCTTGCAGTACAAAGGGCACAAGGGGAGTTCACACATATTCACACACACCTGCCCTTCCTGTAGTACCAGTGATTTTTGGTAGCTTCTAAAAAACAGACTCAAATCTACATTCAAATTTCTAATTTCCTTATAATAAATGACTACAAAATAACAACTAATAGCATATCTAACATTTACAGTCAACACAAGCTTTAGAGATTAGACATATGTTGGAATTTTTACTGATTATAAACCACCCTACCTTGGACACTGTAATAAAGAATTCACCAAATAATTTTTTATTCATTATGAAAGAAAGGTCTGTACTAAACCATCACAAGTCCTCATACCTGGTGTGTAAGTAAAACGTTGAGACTGGCTTTTTTTCCTCTTGCCATTGCAAAGATAAAAGTGCACCTGCACTGCAGCTGTAACTGCTGGGTTATGATATGGAGGAACTTCAAGGACAATGTGAGCCTAAGGAGCATAGAAAGCAAGATTGTGTTACACTCAGAACTAAAAATGAAACGCACCTGCTAAACTCAGCACTACATAAGCCTTAGATCTACCCAGGCCCTTCCATCATAGATCATTATGCAGAACAACTGATTATGTCTGGAGATATATTCTATGGATATTTTAGTCTATGGACACTTTAAAGAGATAAGCTCTTTAAAGTTAACCATTAAAGGGAAAATTGCTTTTTGTTCATTCAATTGGGTTTCTTGTTGTAGTAGAAGTAAGAAGTCTTATATACTTTGAAGTAAAATATTTTGTTCAAATGAATATTACAGGTGAATACTACAGGAAGAATGTAGAGCTCCTTGCCCCTAGCTAAAATGTAGTTACATTTATACAGTCCTAAAATTACATTCAGCCCTTTAAAGACAACCCATGAGGCTGATGTGGCCCCCGGTGAAAATGAGTTTGATACCCCTGCTATACATCTTAACTTAAGTCTGTTCTTGTTTTTAATCAAGTTTCTTATTTCCCAAGTTATGTTATATTCAGATTTCTTATCTTAAATTTTATATTCAAAATGTTCTAAATTGTCAATACACAAAATTTGTATCCATATAAAAATAATTTTACACAAGTAGTGTGAAACCTTTAGCTCCAAACCGAATGCAGTCCTTAACATTACTTCCCCAAAGTCTCTGAACAGCACTGTGGGAAGTGGTATTCTCTATTCCAGAAAAGATTCTGTCTCCATGCCAACCAGGAAGGAACCACAGCTTTGTGCTGAATCCTGAATGGCCTGATGCTGAGGAGTTGGAAATAGTGAGGGCTTGTCCTCTTCCTATTTCTGCCTACTATATATGGTCTTTACTGAATTTGTTTGATTTTTTCAGAGTTCAAAGAAATAAATTAATGATAACTTCACTAAGAAACTTCTAATAATCTTTCATTTCTAATTTTGCCTATCCTATACACAGAAAGGTAAAAGACATGAGTGAGCTTTCATAAACTTTTTGAATATCAGAAAGTTATCTTGTATCTAAATTTCTAAATATTTTAAGTCACTTTCCTATTACTCAATAGATAAAAGACTCCTCATCTACAACATAAGCAGCACTAATTTTCTCATTAAGCTTCTTAAATATCTCTAAAGAAATAAGTTAAATTTCTTACCCCTTGACATTTTTCCCTGATTATTTTCCCTTCTACCTCCCACTGAGGTCGTCCATCTGTTGAAAGAAACAATTTACAGTTAAAAGGAATTCAAGTTACAAAGCATATAAACACAATCTAATCTTATTTAGTATCACAAATTTATTGGCAAAGGGCATCTGTTTCTCACTGACTTCCATAAAGATCTTGGGATGCCCAGGTTAGCAGGCCTCATTGAGTTTATTCTACTAAGTGATATTTGAAAATCCTGTGGGAGCATCTCCACCAAGAGGTGGCTAACTTCTGCTAATATGCCTTAAGTAATGGAAAATTTACTTACCACGTAACCTATTTCCTCTTTGGACAATAATTGCTGCTGGAAAGCTCTTTGTGATAGATCAAATCTGTCTCCTTAAAATATCTAACACTTGTCAAGTACTACTCCTTGCAGCCACCACTCAAAGCTGTTTAAAAGCAGCTACATTTGCTTGTGTCTCGTCTCCTGTTGGCTAGCATCTCCAATTCTGCATCTATCCTTTATACAATAGTTTAGTCTTCCTGGTCACTCTTTGAATATTCTTCCAGTGTGACCATCTCCCTCCAAATGCCCCAGGCCCAGGACTGAATAGCCCAGGTGAGAAATGACCCAGCACTGCAGACAGTAACTAAAGCTCTAGTAACCTTATGCAGAGATGCTGTGTCTCTGTTAATGAAAGTTTTCTGAGGCAGCTGCACCATGTTCCCTCTTACATTCGCTGTGTGTATTCAGAAGTGTCCCTCAGTTTGCACATTTCCTACTGCCGAGCTCAAGCTCCCACAACTTGCACCTATGCAGCTGCCCTCCCAAACCCTTGTTACATTAATTTCTCCCTGCTAGACTTCGTTTTCTTAGATTGTTTTGTGTGTCAAGATCTTTTTGGATACTGACAGTCTTCTAAAATGGGCTTCTAGGCTTTCCAGATTTCTGTCACCTGAAGATCCATCCAGCATATTTTCTGTCTCTTCATCCCAAGTGAACATGGCGAGAGTCCCACCTGCTACTAAAGCTCTCCCTCCAGTCCGATGAACTTCTGTTCTAAAGTATTGTTTTTACATCATGAGCATTCACCCAGGGACTAACCTACACAAGTATCTCCACAGCCAGCATGACTTCACTGGGTCTAAAAGATATTAGGAGAGACTCAATCAAATGTGCCTTCCAAATTGTGACTATCATTTTCTGTCCAGAAACTAGGTAACAGCTATCCTTGTGCACAAGAGGCACTATTAAAAAAATGCCTACTTAGCATTATAGCTCCAGTTCAGCAATCATTTGCTGGGTCCCCTGTGCCAGGCACTTTTGGCTATTGAAATAATAAAGATAGGATATTTTGACTTCAGTCTGTGGATAAAAGGCAAACACAAATAGTTCATTATAATAAAATGTGATGGTCACACTAACTAATAAAAATGCATTCTGGAGGTACCAAGAGCCTTAGGATGAAAGTATGAAACCAGAAAGGCTTTCTAAGGAGCTCTTGAACTAAGGCTTAAATATAAGGTGGAATTTAGATGATGCAGGGGGAAGGGTAGTCTAGGCTGAAGGGATAATATGAGCAAGAGAAAGATGGCAAGAAACCACATGATACAGGGAACCATAAGCAGCTGTGTTGCTGGAGTATAAAGCATGAGGCAGGGAGCAGTAAGAAACAAGGGTGGAAAGTCAGGCAACGGACTGTGCCCTGAATATCATATCACATTAAGGAGCCTAAAAAACGAAGAGATCACTGAAAGTGCTTTCAAAATGGGAGTTACATGTTCACAACTGCAATCTAATCCAAAGCCAGTTAACTACCACCATGTAACATGATTCAATTTAAATCAAAAGCTCTTAAAAACAAAGCTCTGTGTTTAATATAATGAATTCCACAATGAAGCTGCTTTATAGATACATATATTCAGACTCAAATGAATTTTTATAATGCAAAGGGATAGCTTTGAGATATCTCTTCCTCATACTTCTTGCTTTGCTTCAAATATGATCTTTGCAAAAAGACATTCATTGACCACCTGATACAGAGATTTCACTATTTTATCACTATCACTTCACACTCTTACCTCACAGTACTTTAATCTGGAATTATCTTGTTCACCTATCTGTTTATATGTTTATTGTCTGTGCACCCACTTGAAGGTAGGCTCTATTAAAGAGGGCAACCTGAAGGTTGTATTTACTATTATATCCCTAATGTCTAGTGTTTTTCATGTAGCAGCTGCTTTACATATAATTGATAAATTAATAAATTGTGAAACAAAACTGATAAGATGTGCAGGTATTGGTCAGAGTTGAAGGGATTGGAAGGGAGTAAATTTTAAGGGAGAAGACGACAGTTGGAAACATGTTTACCAGCCTGAGAAGGCGGTGGCCCTGACATTAATGAAGTTGGGCAACCCAGTGAGAGAAACTGGTTTGTGAAGTCTGACAAGTTTTCATATTTTAAGTATTGGTAGGACGTAAGTAGCAATTTTTTTAAGTAGCAATTTTAAGTGGGTACTTTTAAACACGGGTTTGAAGTTGGTTTAGGAGAAAGAATGTGACCTTAGACAGAGATCTGGTAGCTGATAAAATTGCCAGAATGAAGGAATATAATGAAAAGAAAGTTGAATATAGAACCTTGGGAAACATCTATATTTAAGGGCCAGAAAAACTGATAAAAAAAAGATGAGTGGGAATAAAGATGTGCTGAGAAGCAGATAAGTACAATTATACAAAAGCCTAGAAAGAAAAGGGTGTCAAGAAGAAGAGCAGATAGCTGACTGTCAAATTTTTAGGAGGTTACAATTCTAATATAGTGAAAGACAGATTGAAAAATAAGTAGCAGGTAAGGCAGATGACAGATTACTTTTTCAAGGGGCTAGATGATAAATGAAAGAAATGAAACCACTGCTTATGAGGATGACAGAGTCAAGGGAAAGGGCATAGGATGAGAAGACTTGAACATGTTTAAACTTCAAGAAAAAGTATTCACAGTGGAAAAAGAGATACTGTAATTATAGGAGACAAGCTATGGGGCAATATATAGTCTCAAATATTTAAGTTTTAAAAAGATGAAAGGATGAAAAATGAGTTAAAAGAAGGAAAAATGCAGAAATTAGATAAATAAAATAATAACACAACTAAAAGGATCAACAAAGCCAAATGGCTCTGGAAAAACTAGTGAAAAAAAAACAGATGACACAAATAACAGCAGAAAAAAAATTTTTTAAAGCATAATTCCACATGCAGGGAGTATTACAAGCAAATCAATGCCGATAAATTTGAAAATTTAGGTGAAATAAATAAAATAATGGTGTGAAATAATGGAAAAAATGTAAATTGGTCTCTGCCTCCAGTTCCTAGCATATGGTTCTTAAAACCTGGTACAAGGCGGGGACTCAACAAAAACTGAAATTATTTTCTAAAACCAAACCTTGTAGTACAGGCTTTCCCTAGGTGAGCGTACTAGGAACCCATCTGTATCAGTGTACCATCTGGCAATGTTGTAAGAGGATGCGTTCAGCTTCAATGAACTTTTCTGAAGACTCTTTCAACGTGTTTGTCCATTTCATGATGGGTGATTTAACAGCGTACTTGTCCACACCATGCTGAGTATTCAGCAGTTTTTGACCAAAAATGGCATGACCCCTGTGTCTCACCCTCCCTATTCATCTGATCTTACCCCAAGGCAATCGCCCCCATGAAAAACGTCTTCGAAGAAAAATGTTTTCCTGATGTAGAAGAGGCAAAACAAAACAAAAAACATAGCAGAAGCAGTAAAAGGCATCGTAATCGACAAGTTCAAAAACTGTTTTGAGCCCTAGCTAGTGTTTTGAGTGCCAGCCTGAAAAACAAAAGGTCACCAGTCTGACACCCAGTCAGGGCACATGCCAGGGTTGCTGGCCAGGTGCCCAGTAGGGGGCACCTGGGAGGCAACCATACATTGATGCTTCTCTCCTTTCTCCCCTCTCTAAAAATAAATAAATAAAATCGTTTTTAAAATGTATTTAAAAAAAAACTGAGCAGTGAAAAAACATGTCGATGGGTGTTTTGCATCAAATGAAGAGTACTCTGAAGGTGACTGAAGTTTAAACATACAAGAATAAGTACACAATTTTTTATAAATGAATTCTGTTTTTTGAGAGGTCCCCCCTTATCATTTCTTGATAAGAGCACTAGGAGCCCTTTTTTTCTCTAATATTTGGTTCCTGACATAGAGGTCCTAAATCCCTTGGAATTTCCTAGATCAAATATGAGTGTCTTTTGTTCAGAGGAGGGGACGGGACTCTTGGTAGGCTCCTGGATGAAGGATGGTTACCAGAAAGACCAAAGCCATAATTAGAAGCGTGGACCTTTCAGGCCTACCCTTCCTTCTCCAGAGAGGAAAGAGGGGCTGGAAATGGAATAGTCAATCGATCATGCCTATGTGATGAAGCTGCCATAAAAATTCCCATACTACGGGGTTCAGGGAGCTTCTGTGTTGCTGAACATATGCAGGTGCCAGAAGAGTGGTATGCCCATAAAGGGTATAGAAAATCCGTGTTTCTCCCCTCATACCTTGCTCTATGTATCTCTTCCACCTGGATGTTCATCTGTATCCTTTATGGTATCCTTTATTATATAATAAACTAGTAAGCTTAAGTAAGTTTCCCTGAGTTCTGTAACATGTTCTACCAACAATCAAATCTAGGAAGGTGGTCATGGGAACCTCTGATTTATAGGCAAGTCAGACAGAAGTTGTGGGTAACCTCAGACCAACTACTTTCAACTGGCATCTGATGTGAGGGATAGCCTTATGGCACTAAGCCCCTAACCTGCGGGATCTACACTAACTCCAATTAGTTCCCAAACTGAATTAAATTGAACTGAGGACACCCAGTTGGTATTGAAGAATTGCTTGATACATGGGAAACCCACATACAATATCACCACACTCAGAAGTGTTATAAATGTGGTAATATTATGAGTAAAGGAGAAACACAGAAGAATGTGTTTTTCTATTCACCTGGAAAATAAAAATTGCCAAAACTAACTCAAGAAGAAATAAACTTAGGTGGTCCTATGAGCATGAACAGAATTATATCAGAAATTAATAGCTCCCCACAAAAACAGCTCCCTGCCCAGAAGATTTCAGAGGTGAGCTCTGTCACATGTTCAAAAGAAGGTGAGACTACATGACAACACTTTTGGAAAGTGAAAAAAGATGGGGTACTTCCCCAGCTCACTATATCCAAAATACAAAGTGGGCAAAAGTAGGTTTACAGTTGTGAATATGCAAAACTGAGTTTGTTCTTGTATTATTAATGATTGTATTATTTTCCATATTAATAATGGCAAACCTACTTTTTGCCCCACCCTGTATATGAAGAATCCTATAATAAAATTGACTCAATAAAAAAAAGGGCAAAGACATGAACAGATACTACACAAATAAATGGCCCATAACAACCTCAGTATGATTAACAGGAAAATTTAAACTCAAACTTCAAAATACCATTTTATCCCTATTGAATTAATAAAACTTAAGAATTGTAACATTCTTGGCTAGTCCACCAGGTGATAAGAAGTAGAATGTTCACGTTGGCCATTGTGGCTCAATTAGTTGGAGTATCATCAAGTAAACCAAGAGGTCACAGGTTCTAGGCCTAGCCAGAGCACATGCTGGGTTGTAGGTTTGATCCCTTGGGTGGGGTGCATAAGAGAAGAAACCAATTGATGTTTTTCTCCCTTTCTCTCTCTAAAATCAATGAGCATGTCCCTAGGTGAGGATTAAAGAAAAAATGTTACACCCTACAATAAAATCATAGAAATCTTTTTTTTTAAAGGAAATGTTCATAACTGAATTGTTGGCTACTGTTTGGCAGTGCCAAAAACCAGACACAGCTCAAATATCCAGCGAGAGTATGGATAATAAATTGTGGCACATTCATACAGTGAAACTTAGATATAGTGAAAAGTAATTCAGTTATATTAAAACATTAAATGACCACTGGGGGAAAAAACTCTTTCAGAAGAATACATGCAGTACTACATAAAGTCCAAAAATGGGAAAATACATAAAATAAAACTAAAGAAAAACAAAAATTGATTCAGGGAAAGAATCCATTTGGGAAGGGACAAGAATGTGACTCCAAATGTAAATGTCCTATTTTTCATATTAGTCTTATGAGAATGGTATTTCAATTTCACATTTTTTAAACTCTTAAAAAAATATAAGAAAAGGAATAGAAAATGTTTTAAATATGTTCAAGAAGGCTGAAATAAAACACCCTGATAGACATAGGATTCTTCTACTTTTCTAAAAATTAAGATATTATGTAAAAATGCCTAAAATTCACTTAAAAATCCTCACCTAAGGATATTTTTTCATTTTAGAGAGAGAGGAGGGGAACAGAGAAACAGTGATGCCAGAGAGAAGCATTGACCAATGGCTTCCTGTAGGCACCCAGACCTACAGGATCGTACATGGCCAAAATCGGGATCGAACCCACAACCCAGGTATGTGCCCTAATCAGGAATCAAACCTGCAACCTTTCATTTATGGGATGTCTTAGTTATAGGATGATGTTCTAATGGAGCCACATCAGCCAGGGCAAAATTCACTTTTTTAAAGTATATGATTCCGAGATTTTTATATTCACGGAACTCTATCTAATTCCAGAAATTAGTCACTCCCCACTGACAACTCCCACCAAACTCTAATCTACTTTCTGCTGATCTGGACATTCTGTGCTGGCTTCTTTCACTTAGCACAATGTTGTCAAGATTCATTCATGATGTAGCATGGACCAAAACTTTCTTCTTTTTTATAGCTGAATAATATTCCATCATTATATGATTATATCCATTTATCAGCTGATGAACACTTAGGTTATTTCCATTTTTTGGCTATTATGAATAATCCTGCTATAAACACTTGTGTCCAAGTTTATGTGTGACATGTTTTCAATTCTCTTCAGTATATATACGAAGTCTGTCCAGAAAAAGTCCAGCCATTGTTAATATAACGAGAACAGTTTGCGAGACATGATGTAATCTAGCAACCAAGGAGAGTGGACTGGAATGCGCACTGGTGAACAATGACGACTTCACTGTACTAGTCAGTGGGGTGGTAGATGCTGTTGAGTGAGCATGTGCACTGTGTGGCCGTCACATTCAAAATGACTGAGCAAGTGGAGCAATGAATCTGCATCAAATTTTCCATTGAGCTTGAACATTCCTCCTCAAAAACTATTTGGATGATTCAGAAGGCCGCAGCTATGGCAACCAGTGACTGGCAGCTTCATCATGACAACACACCTGCTCAGGCATCACATCTCATGCAGTCATTTGGCAAAACATCAAATCACCCAAATGACTCAGTGCCGTTACAACCCACATTTGGTTATCCTGTGACTTATGGTTTTTCCCAAAACTATAATCACCCTTGAAAGGGAAGAGATTTCAGACTGTTGATGAGACTCAGGAAAATATGACAGGGCAGCTGACAGCGACTGGGAGAACTACATGAGGTCACAAGGTACCTACTTTGAAGGGGACTGAGGCATCACTGTCCTATGTATAATGTTTCTTGTATCTTCTTCAGTGAAAGTCTCTATTTTTTGCCCTGGCTGGTGTGGCTCAGGGGACTGAGTGCCAGCCTTCAAACCAAAGGTTTACAGGTTCCGTTCCCAGTCAGGGCACAGGTTGCCTAGGTTAGAGGCCAGGTCCCCCAGTAGGAGGTACAGGAGAGGCAACCACACACTGATGTTTCTCTTTCTCTTTCTCCTTCCCTTCCCCTCTCTCTAAAAATAAATTACCAGTAAAAACCTAAAAAAAAAATCTCTATTTTTCCTATTACATGGCTAGATACCTTCTGGACAGACTTTGTATACCTAGGAATAGGTCTATTGAGAGATCCTTCTACTTTTGAGACATCTTTTTTTTTAACCCTTACCCGAGGATATGTTTATTGATTTTAAAGAGAGAGGGAGGGAGAGCAGCAAAGAGACAAACATCAATTGGCTGCATCCCATATGAACCCTGACCGGGGCTTGAACCTGCAACCTTATGGTATTTAGACAACACTCCAACCAAGTCACACCATCCAGGGTGAGACATCCTTAATGAAAAGTAACACTTATATGAAAATTTAATAAATGTCTGATTTGCAATAAAATCTGCATAAATGATGCCTATAGCTCTAGGAAAACTTTATGTTTAATGTCAATGAAACATCTGAATAATTCAAGGTCGATCAATTAAAATCTTGTATTATTTACCTTGTCCTTTTTCAAGAAAAATGATTTTCGATTCTGGAAGAAAATTAGATCCAGTCACAATCATTTCATGGCCACCATTTACAGAACAACTGTTGATGCTGTACTTCTCAATATGAGGAAGTTCTTGAGCAGACCGCTGGGCTGTTTTATTTTTAAAAGTTGAGAAGAAACAAAATATTAGTTTACAATTTTTCATATATAATTGACAAATTCAGGCTATATAATGAAAATAAATAGAAGCAAATTCTGGGCTTTTACAATTCAAGATAATACTAAAATATCCACCAAAATAACTACATTATTTAAAAAATAAAATAGAGTCATTAGATTTGTGTGATTTCTTAATTATTTTCTTAAGACTACAACTGTAAAAAAAAAACAACTAATAGGAGAAATTAATTATTGCTTGCAAATTTATATTGACTTCAACACATTCACTTTATCCAACTTTTCTCTTTTTAGCTTAAATCTTTAATATATTTCTTCCCTACAACTGTTAAAATCAATAAATCTAATTATAAAAGACAAATTAAATCCAAAGATATATAATTATGTTTCCTACAATTAAAAAACAAGTTCCTAAAGGACAAACATCACGTAGCCTTTTCATCAAGAAAACATCTATATCATCATTGATATATCAGGATTCCATTTTGGAAGATTTTCTAAATAACTAAACAACTGAAACGTACATGAAGTACACATTTCAATAGTGAATTTTAAAAAATGGATGTAAATGTTTCTATAGTACACTAACACTTCATTTCCAGGGTACGTGAACAAGTTTTTCCTAATGCCAAAGAGTCATTCATTATTCAAATTAATGTTATAAACAGTGATCTTGGTACTCCTTTATCTGATACTGACTGATTCCAAGTAGCTACATTTTCTAGAGATGGCATTTCTGGCTCTTTTCTCTTCAAAACAAAGGGAAAATGTGGATTACACTCTCCTCTTCACATTTGGAAAACAGGTCTACTTTTAGTCCTACTTCTTGTGTGGAAAACTGGTGGCTTTGAGGGTCAGCTGTGTTTTGTTTGGCTGGAATAACATTTTAAAGAAATTTAAACCTGAATGCCTTTAGGAAAGACACACTCCCAGTTCACTACTGGCTCTTGTCTTTCATAAGTATTGAATACCAAGCCACAAAAGGTATGTGAATTGGGACACCAGCCCCAATCAAAGAGAATGGTAAAACAGATTCTTTCATAAAGGATAGGTCTGGGATTTAGGATGAACTCACTAGGGAAGTACCCAGCACCAACCTAGATCTCAGAAAATACTTATATCTCTACTTAAGTTCCAAATGACTCACTGAGAAGGAACATGGAAACAAGCACTGACTGGCCTAGGGAATAGACTAAATCAAACTTTAGATATGTATGGTAGAAGATGGCCATCATAGGTACATTTAAAGTAACAGTAAAAATGTTTTTAACAAATGGCACAGTCACAGCAAAAAATTATGTATATGTTAAAAACAGTATTTTTGAAGAATATTTAGCAATATGAGAAAATGCCCATTGTAAATGAAAATACCAAAACAAGTTATAAAAATGCATTGGGTAAAGCCCTGACCAGTGTGGCTCAGCTGGTTGGGCGATGTACCACAAAGCAAAAGGTTGCCAGTTTGATTACCAGTCAGGGCACATGCCCAAATTGCGGGTTTGGTCCCCAGTCCGGACACATTTGAGAGGCAACTAATAGATGCTTCTCTCGCATATTGATGTTTCTCTCCCATTCTTTCTCCCTCCCCTCTCCTCTGTCTAAAAATAAATAAATAAAATCTTTAAAAAAACCTCTATCAGGTAAGCCCAACTAAAAAATACTGTATATATAGATATATAGATATATAGACCAAAAAGAAAAGGAGAAAGAAACCCCCCCAAAATAGTTAATAGTAACTATCTTGGGCAAGTGATATTTCAAAAGATTTTAATACTACTCTTTGTACCATTTTGCATTTTCTATATTCTCAACAATAATCATGTAAAAATTTAATAAACTAAAAGAAAAAAATCACATTAAATTTTGCCCTGGCTGGTATTGCTCAGTGGATTGAGTGCCAGCCTGGAAACTGAAGTGTTGCTAGTGCAATTCCCAGTCAGCGCACATGCCTGGGTTACGGACCAGGTTCCCAGTTGGGGGTTTATAAGAGGAAACCAATCGATACATCTCTCACACATTGATGTTTCTCTCCTTCCCTTCCTTTCTCTCTAAAAGTAAATAAGTAATATATAAAAAAAAATAAAATAAAAATTTTAAAAAATCACATTAATAAACTAAAAGAAAAAATACAAAATCATTTCAAAGAAACTTCATCTTGAAACTCAAAATATTCTATAACCTTATCTAAATTATTTTGCTAAACACATGTGTTTGTACGGGCACAGAATACTCTGGCAGGATAATAAAAACACTGGCAATGACAGTTGCTTTGAAGAGGGAAAACTAGTTGACTTAGAAATTTGCTTCTCACTCTATCCTCTTTCATTCTTTCTGAATTTTGTACCAGATACCTGTCTTACCTATTAAAAATTATTACAGCCATGGCTGGTGTGGCTCAATGGACTGAGTGATGGTCTGCAAACTGAAAGGTAGCCGGTTCAATTCCCAGTCATGGCACATGCCTGGGTTGCAGGCCAAGTCCCCGAATAGGTGCATGCGAGAGGCAACTGATTGATGTATCTCTTGTGCTGGTTCTCTCCCTCTTTTGCTCCCTCCCTCCCCCTTTCTCTAAGAATAAATAAATTAAAATAAATTTTAATTATTTATTTTTAGAAAGGGGAAAGGAGGGAGAAAGAGAGAGAAAAACATCAATGTGTGGTTGCCTCTCGCATGTCCCCAAATGGGGATCTGGCCCACAACCCAGGCATGTGCCCTGGCTAGGAATTGAACCAGCGACTCTTTGGTTCACAGGCTGGTGCTCGATCCACTGAAACACACCAGCCGGGGCAATAAAATATTTTTTAAAAATTAATATAAAAATTACTTCTACAGTGATGTCTTTTTACTATGGATTTGTTCAGTGATTCCCACAGTCAACAGGGAAATGATAAAGTATTACTCTAATTTAGCAAACAGCAAATGGAAGCACACAAAGGAAATTAAGTAGGTGTAATCCTGAATTAAGAATGCACGTGGTTAACAGAAATAAAATGGTATAATGTAACTAAAAGAGTACTAAGAACCTGTGCTCTAGACACAGCTCTGTTGCCTACAAGCAAATAACCTTAGATGAGTACTTGAGATGTCTCTGCCTGTTTCCTCCTACACAAAACATAGACATGAAATTAAAACATTTCTAAGGGTATGCCAGAAAGACCTAAACAGCAGACTCCATCTTTCAGTGCTACCAGCTAACCAACCTATCAGAGGTCCACAGTTCTCCAGGGTTTGAGTAGTCAGTTATCATGTTCTAGGGCCTTTTTTTTTTCATTTTCTTTCCTTTGTAATCAGGGGGAAAAGGATTTACTTTCTTAATCTGGTGTTGTAATTAAATTTATGGTAAAAAAAAAATCCCACAAAAAAACAAAATCCTGTGAGTCCTTATTTAGCAGAGATGTCAGCTCACTGAGACAGGCATGTTCCTACATAAAGGCTGACATTTTAATGAAATAACAATAGCCAAGTAATACTTAGAATCATAACTTCATGATTTGGTCCTCAAGTATAATCAAGCCCATCTACCTCCTTTACAGATAAGAAAACTGTGGTCAGGAGAATTTGTCTATAGTCACACAGCTACCTATTTCTAACTTCAAGATCATAACTCCTCCTACTAACCATGTAGCTTATTTCCATATAAGAAAATCACACCAGCTATCCAGATTCTGTGCCTCAATTTACACTTTAGATCCAAACATCACATTACAACAAGACAGGAAATGGCCTATTGGAAATGAAATTTTAAAACAGCATCACAAGCTCACTTACAGCACTCAACAGGTATAGAAGCAGTCTGCAGAGAAAGGACTTTTCCATTGGGTTGTGGGATGTGTACGCGAAACACAAGTCGTACTCTAGTATTCTTTCTGCCAATATCAGTTTCTCCTTTTCGAAGTTCTATATCTGAATTGCGGAGTTTCAAAATACCGGCACAGTCAATACTAGGGAGAAAAAAATATAAAAACATTTTACTCGCTTACTGATAATTAGTGGTTCTAAACAACTCAGCTAAGTAGCCACTGCTAATTTGGCAAGGAAGAACTACCACTACCTAAAATCAAAAATGTCTGAAAGACACAAAGGGATTAAGGAAAAAAAAACAAAACCCTCAAAGACACAGACAACAATATGGTGATTACCAGAGGGAAAGGGGGGTGGGGAAAGGTAGAAGAAGATAAAGGGGAGATAAATGGAAATTTTAAAAAAAATATTTTTGCATGACAAAAGTGTAATAATTGTCTGTAAAGAGGGCTGTCAACAATTCCTTCCCATTCCTGTACATGCATGCCACTTTTCCCAGAGTTCCTATGTCCCCTCACCTTGGGAGCTGGCTTTATAGAATGTAACCAAATGATGCTGTGTAAATTATAAGCCTAGCACTTAAGAAGCCTCATAACTTCCTCTTGGAGCCTAAGCCACCACGATGAAGTCCAAATAGCATGCAAGAAAGAAAGGCCAAGATAATCCTTAACTATACCAGCCATCCTGGATGTTCCAAACCCAAATGAGCTACCACTGGATTCAGGTGTATGAGTGATCCATTCCATCACCACATGAATGAACTGGTTGAGTCCAGTTCATTCATGTGAGCCCAAAGAATCATTAAAAAAAAAGTTACGAGGCCGGAAAAGATTCATATGTAGGCCCGCAAATATCATTAATAGCATAGATTTTTATAGTTATATGCTTATTAATAAAACAGTTCATCAGGCTATGATTCTTGCATTTCTAACAATATTACATATTTATAAAGTTTCTAAACTGTAAGTTTTATATTTTCTCAACTATATGACATATTTCCAAAGAATACACATACAAAATTACAGTTTTGGCATTTAAGGTCTAACATTTCAATACCTTCAAAATGTATTACTAAATATGGTTGCTTAACACATATCATGGTAGGAAACAATAGTACCTACAACATATCTTTCTTATTCACATGTTGGAGGAATTTAGCAAACAGATAACTACTGATCAAACATCCCAGTTAAAGTTTACTCTCTCTTATGGCATTCATTGTTATTCATCCTTTTGCTGTACGTACCAATAGTTCCAACTCTAACGCTCACTGCCCAAAGGCTGCACAAGTAGCTCTGAAGGACAATGTATATTACAGAACTAGGATATCAAGACAAGAACCAGTAAAGTACAAGAGAGAATCCCAAAAAGGATGAATATTTTCATCTTCAGAAAGACACAGAAAAAATTTCTAAATGGAAATATTTTTGAAAATAAACAAAATAAATATTTAACTAGTATCAAACAACTGTACTTCAGCTCAAAGCAATACTGATCAAACTGTATCAGGCAGTGATTATTCATGTTAACATGCCAACATGGGTCTCTGGGGGGAACCCCGGGTGTCATATATTTCATTGAGTTTTGAGGGAAGATATTTTAGCAGAAAGCTAAACTTCTAATAGAAGATTTGGGGATCAAGGTGGAGGTGGAGGTAGATACACTTTGTTACCTCACACAACCAAAAGAAGGATAACAACAACAACAACAACAACAACAACAAAAAACAAAACTAGACCTGCCAGGAAATGAACTACATAAGTCCAACAACCAAGGGGTTAAAGAAGAAACATTCATCCAGACTGGTAGGAAGGGCAGAGAAGGTAGCCAGGGCGGAGAGGATGTGCAGCAAGGAAGTGGAACTAACAGAAGAGAAGACAGCTGGAGGACCAGGAGGTTCCACACTCACGTGCGGATGAACCCGTAGGAACAACTGGGAATGAGACAGACCATGCAACCCAGGGTTCCAGCATGGGGAAATAAAAGTCTCAAAACTTCTGGCTGTAAAAACCTGTGAGGGTTGTGGCTGTAAGAAAAACCCCCACCTTAACAGGAGAGTTCGTTGGAGAGACCCACAGGATCCTAGAAGGTACACAAAAGCCCATCCACCCAGGAATCAGCACCACAAGGGCCCAATTTGATTGTGGGTACCAGGGGAAGTGACTGAAAGTGGGGCAAGAGCTGAGCAATTGGCATTGCTCCCTCTCTGACCCATATAGCGCCACAACGCAGCCACGTGGGGAATACCTAATGCTCGCTCCCCCCCTTAAAATGTAACAGGCACCCTAAGACAAAAAAACTATGGCCCAAATGAAAGAACAGATCAAAACTCCAGAAAAAGAACTAACAAATGAGGAGATAGCCAATCTATCAGATGCTGAGTTCAAAACACTGGTAATCAGGATGTTCATAGAAATTATTGAATGTGGATACAAAACAACAGGAAAAAATGCAGGCTATGCAAAGGGTAATGAAAAATATACAGGGTACCAACAGTGAAGGGAATGGAACCAGGATTCAAATCAACGATTTGGAACAGAAGGAAGAAATAAACATTCAACAGGAACAGAATGAAGAAACAAGAATTCAAAAAAATGAAGAGAGGCTTAGGAACTTCCAGGACAACTTTAAATGTTCCAACATCTGAATCACAGGGGTGCCAGAAGGAGAAGAGGAAGAGCAAGAAATTGAAAACTTATTTAAAAACATAATGATGGAGAACTTTCCCTATCTGGCAAAGAAAACTGACTTCCAGGAAGTCCAAGAAGCTCAGAGAGTCCCAAAAAAGTTGGACCCAAGGAAGCACACACCAAGGCACATCATAATTACATTACCCAAGATTAAAGAGAAGGAGAAAATCTTAAAAGCAGCAAGAGAAAAGAAGACAGTTACCTACAAAGGAGTTCCCATCAGACTGTCAGCTGATTTCTTAAAAGAAACCTTGCAGGCAAGAAGGGGCTGGAAAGAAGTATTCAAAGTCACGAAAGGCAAGGACCTACATCTAAAATTACTTTATCCAGCAAAGGTATCATTTAGAATGGAAGGGCAGATAAAATGCTTCCCAGATAAGATCAAGTTAAAGGAGTTCATCATCACCAAGCCCTTATTATATGAAATGTTAAAGGGACTGATCTAAGAAAAAGAAGATCAAAACTATGAACTGTAAAATGACAACAAACTTATAACTATCAACAACTGAACCTACAAAACAAAAACAAACTAAGCAAACAACTAGAACAGGAAAAGAATCACAGCAATGGAGATCACATGGGGGATTATCAACCAGGCAGGGGAGGGAAGAGATTGGGGGAAAAGGTACAGGGAATAAGAAGCAGAAATGGTAGGAACAAAATAAACAGGGGGAGGTTAAGGATAGTATGGGAAATGGAGAAGTGAAAGAATTTACATGTACGACCCATGGACATGAACAAAGGGGTGAGGGGAATGCTAGTGGGAGGGGCAGTGCAGGGCAGAGGGGGATTAAGGTTAGGAAAAAAAAAAAGGGACAACTGTAATAGTATAATCAATCAAATGTACTTAAAAAAAGAAGATCTGAAATAAGAGAATCAGAAATGACAATTTAAAATCTGCTTAACAAATGCAAAACATAGTTGAGTCAGAGTAGTGAACACACAATACCATGTACAGATGACGTGTTGTACAACTGTGCACCTAAAACCTAAAGAATTCTGTTAACCAGTGTCACTCCAATAAATTCAATATAAAGGCAAAAATGCCAAACAAAGACAAAAACATAGCAACAAAAAACCACATATATTGGAATGAAAATAACTATTAAGGTCTGTTTACAACACTATATTTTAGATCAGAATGTAACACTGCCACATCCATATTCATCTAGTTTTAAAACAGGAAGGGAATTTTTGGGCAGGTAATATTAAAAAAAAAACAAAACAAAACAGGAAAGAATTATGAGTAGGGTGAGGCAATGAATACTGGCATCCAATATTTAAAGTACCTTGTAGGGTGGTGAGCTCTATGGCTTATGGGTTAGTGTACTGGTTTTATTTATTTTTTTCTTTTAATCTTCACCCAAAGATATGTTTATAGATGTGTGTGTGTGTGAGAGAGGGAGGGGGGAGGGGGAGAGTAAGAAGGGGTGGGGAAGAGAGATCTATGGGTTGTCTCTCGCACACCCCCAACTGGGGACCTGGTCTGCAACCCAGGAATGTGACTTGACTAGAAATCAACAAGCAACCCTTCCATTTGCAGAACAATGCTCAACCCACTGAGCCACAGCAGCCAGGACAGAATCTGCAACCTTGCTGGTGTATGGGGCAACACTCCAACCAACTGAGCTACCCACCATCCAAGAGAGATTAGGATTGAAATAACCAAGCCTGAGGGATAGTAGACAAAACAAGCGGAATACCTACCACTTTTTCCACTTACTGCTTTTAGAGAACAGTAGAGCCATTTAATATACACCTATAATTCACTTATGCATAAATTATTTTTAACAATGAATGGTCTTATCTATCATTCACAAAATTTTATCCCTATATAAAACTATATTACATTCAATTACTGTAGCTTATAGTATTTAGTATTTAGTTCTTGGATATAGCAGGCTCATTTAGCATTAGCTGCCCTGTTATCTAACACACACGGAAAAGGTTTTTTAGGTTTGATAACTTTCTAGATGCTCCTTGCTGAACCCTTTCTTGGAAACACACAATGTTGCTATAAACTTTGGTTTCCACAGAACTCATTTCCCATCTAACAGTGCAGAGTGGATAAAATGGCCTGAGAAGTTTCAAGTATGTGTCTGACAGGGTAGGGTAAGGGGGCTAGTCGCTTGTTATTAATAACAACTGTATTTCTGCAGCTTTTTTCTTTATGGTGTCATCCAACCAGGCAGTATATGCCAGTTCTGTTGGAAAAGGGACATGAATCATGACTACCACCTCTGTTCCATGTGCTAATAGATAGAAAAAGGAGGAGGCAGGTATGTTCAAATCCCACTCTTCTAATTTTTTTCACACAATTTGGTGTATGAAGCTTTCCCAATTTCTTGAGAATCTGTATTAGAAACTCAAGTACTCTATTTTCTTTAACTTATTTATATACTACTTTTAGGAAGGATAAGGCTTTTTACAATATAATTACAAATAAGGCCAAAAAAAAAAAAAAACAACCCCCAAACAGAAACAATTTTAAATATAAGGAACAGGAAATAAATATATCCCAAATCCAGGGTTATATGAATTACTGTAACTGACTTAATTATGAACTTCCTGGAAGTCAAAGCAAAAACTAAATGTTATAAAGTTTTTACAGGTTTCTCCTTGTCTGGTAAAACAAAATCTACCATGTTATCAGAAAATACTAACTTTCTTCCTTTAACTTGATTCTCTGTGTGTGTATAATGACCAACCTAAAAAAGAGTGTTTTTTTCAGATTATGAAAAAGTATTTATATGGCTATTTCTTATACTGTCCTTCAAGCAAAGTAAAGCGGCATAATATGCTTCTTGTGATTTTCTATTTAACTTGATTCAAGTCTAGTACTTTGGATATCCAGAAGGATAAATGTAAACATGGCCTGAGGGGTATCATATCTTCCAGAGACGAATTTTATGAGTTCTGTAGCTAATTGTATATTCATATGCTTTAATGCTAAATGAAAAAAGTAAGATTCTAGAGTAAAAGAGAAGCTGGCCTGCATTCTCATTCAGAGGCTAGCCACCTCACCTTATTTGAAAATGGGTTAAATAGGACATTTGGAGGAAGAGCCAATATCTTCCTTAAGAGTTTTGCTCAAGTGCCTGAACAAGTATTGGTTGAGACTCCAAAGTTCTTCCTAAATCACAGAACACGAAAAATTTAAGAGTACAGATCGTCAACTAGCTCTATGCATTTGCCATGAAAAAACTGTTACAGTCCCTGTGTAATGGCTCACTAGGCTGGGCTCTCAGGTACTGCCCACTTGAACAAGGCAGGCAAAGTAAGATTTTATTTAATTTCATATTAATGTGCCTTCTCTGGTAATAACTAGGTAAGAGGGTAAGTGATTTCTTGAGGTAATTCTTATTTTGGAAGAATTATAAATTACTATGCTCTCGGTGGTATATTCAGTTTACCTAAAAAGTTACTTAAATATAATTTAAAAGAGAAGAGCTGGAGACTAATACCTGACTGTTTTTGCAACAGCTAAGGATAGATGTTACTACCATTTTAAGAAAGGTCTATATTATAGTTTGAAATAACTTCTGTAACAAACTTCACTGTAAGTTTCATGTACCTGGTAAGTGAAAGATTAATAATTGCCTATTGAATATCCTTTCTTCTATTTTTCCTTAATAATAGGCCCTTATACTGTTAAAGGTGGCAAAGTATTCAGGTAAAAAAAAAATTACCCCAGTTTTCCTTACATACAAAGATGGTCAATGAGATGTGTTGGATAGGTTTCTAGGACAAGCTCTTTAAAGAGGCCTGGCACAGATGGAAGTTCTCTTTTAACCTTCATCCTACTGCTTCTTCCTTATTTCTTCTGGGATTGGGATTGGGATGACTAGAGCACCAGCAGCCATTTTAAATCATGGGGCAATTTTGGGAATGGAAACCATATACTAAAAATTGCAGGGAAGAAAAAACAGAAGGACCTTAGAAACTCAATGACTTATGAAGCCACTGTGCTAGCCCTAACATGCTTATGTGTGTATTTTTATCATGGGATGCAAAACTAAACCTCTAACTATTTAAGTCACTGTATTTCTTTAACAGGCAACTCTATATAATCATAACTAATATTCATGAGCAAAACTCTACTGTATACTCATTTGGAAGTTGGCTGCCTAGAGGTAGAGTCAAAGTTTTCCAAGAAACATAACAGTCATAATTATACTGCAATTGTTTATTCACTGTTTACCCTATTAGATTATGAGCTACCTGAAAAAAGTCCAAATATTTTCCTGTCACCTAGCATACTGTTTGACTAGTGCTACATGGGTTCATAAACTTTTGCTGAATTGAATTTTCTTTCTGGAAATATGCTACCAACCTTAGCAAATGTACTATGGTTATTTAAATAATGGTATTCAGTTAATTTAAAACAACAAATATTTCATTTCTATACTATAACAAGAAATGCATGTTTTTTCCAAAAGTTATTTTAGGGGGAAAAAACTGTTCATTTGTGGGTATGTTTCAAAATACCTGGCTGACATATTGTTTTCAGGAAGAAGTGGAATTTCCAGAACCTTTGTACTAGCAATTATTATCTCTTGGCTTGCAGTAGCAACTGTCTTCCCAGTAATTCGATGCACCTGGTAAAATGCATGAGGTCGTAAATATCGATCATCTGCTGTTCCAATAAACATCTGTAGATTTATCGGCTTTTCACTGTATCCCAGCAGCTAATCAGGAAGAAAAAACACAGAAAACAAATTCATTATCCATATATTTTACAATAACCTTACAACAGTAAATCTTTAGATCTATATCACATATTATTAATATATAAAATGTTATTTCAAAAAAGATAAGTTAAAAAAGTAAGTGGGCACATTCTCTTTCCCAAGAGCATGCCCACATCTTTCTTCCTTCTCAGGTATGTATCTCCTAAACACTAAGGTTTCCCACAAGACTTGCAACCAGGCAAGCAATGGGCAGCAGCGACTCATCCTGGACTAACCCACTGAACTTGTCTTCAAGGGCCTCTTTTCTCTGACCTTCCAGTGAACCAAAAGCAGGCCCACCTAGGTTCTCTTCTGTTGCTTCTTCTATCCTAAGCTCCTCCTTGTCTCACTGTCCCCAGCTTTAATAAACATACTCTCAAAATAAAAAATAAAATAAAATAAGACAACAGTAAGTGAACAACCGTCTAAATTTTGGAAGTAGTTTAAGAATTATAAAATTCTGAAATACTACAAGGGATGAGGAGTTTTTTGTTATATTTTACTCTCTAGGTCCATCCATGCTGTCATAATGGGTAAGATTTCCTTCTTTATTATGGCCGAGTAGTATTTCATTGTGTAAATGCACCACAGCTTTTTTATCCACCCACCTATTGATGGTCACTTGGGCTGCTTCCAAATCTTGGCTATTATAAATAATGCTGCAATGAACAGGGGTGCACATATTCTTTTGAAATAGTGTTTTCAGTTTCTTCAGATACATTCCCAGCAGTAGAATCATTGGATTATAAGGCAGTTCCATTTTTAATTTACTGAGGTAACTCCATACTGCTTTCCACAGTGGCTGCACCAATATACATTTCCACCAACAGTGCACAACAGTTCTATTTTCTCCACACCCTCTCCAACATTTGTTTGTTGATTTATTGATGATAGTCATTCTGACAGGTGTGAGGTGATCTCTCATTGTGGTTTTACTTTGCATTTCTCTGATAAATAGTGACAGTGAGCATCTTTTATGTCTATTGGCCATCTGTAAGTACTCTTTGGAGAAGGGTCTATTCAGGTTCTTTTCTCATTTTTTTAATGAGATTTTTTGTGTGTGTTGAGTTGTGTAAGTTCTTTATCAATTTTGGGTATTAACCTCTTATCAGATACATCACTGACGATGACAAATATCTAGATCAACAAAAATTTTGCAAAGTCTTTTTTAAGTACTGTGGAGAACACAGAAGAAATGCTGATTCTGTAATCCAGGAGACCCTGACCATCGGGACCAGACCTAAAAACTTAGGTGTGTGGGAAGGTCCTCCAATAGGCTATTAAAATCACAAACACTTTTAGATTTTCTACTTTTAGTGAAAAATCACAGACATTTTTAGTAGTCTAAAAAATCCTGTTCCATGTTACTAACTTAGAATTTCAACAGACTTAATAAGCTGGGCTACTTGACTTTTTTTGGTACCCTTCACTGTTGCTGAGGTCAAGATGACTCTACAGGATTGATAATGGGGATGACCAGGAGGTACTAGAGATAAAAATAGTGACCACAAAAAGGAGACAATTGAAAAAAAGAGCCTGAAGAAGTACAGAACTTAGAAAATAGAACTCAGGGAGATTCCCATGTCCAGTCTGATAGTTGAGTAGCACCTCTTTAAACCACCGTTCTGTAGATAACTGTAAACTGAAACAAATATAAAGAATGACTTAAAAGCATGGAGAGCAACCAAAGTAAGCAGATACTAGAAGCAAATTGGCACATGTAAGGAAAGAATAACAATAGGTGTGTTTCCTGTTTTTAAGGCTTTGAATGAGAGAAAGCCACAATCTATAACTTACACAGTGGCTGAAACTCCCACAGAAAATCTACAGCCTGAAGGGTTTAAAGAACTGAGAACAGAGTCTGGGAGTTAAAAAACAAAACAAAACAAAACAAAAAAACGGTTTATATCTTCTGGAAAGTAAAACAGAAATCCCAGAAAGGAGACAACCAGAGATGGGAGCTCCAATTATAGATATAAACTCTAATCAATCCTTTGGCTTACCTTGTAAACCATTTATGAACAAGATAGATCCCAAGCAGACTAAGGCAAAAACAACTAAAATGAGATTATGAGCTGCCACCAACCACATGTTAGGTTTTGAAGATTGACTCCAAGTAAAGTATTTGCTAAAACAAACAAACGAAAAATCAACATTCCTTGGGAGTATACATGAGTATGTATGTATATGATTTGTTTTGATGTTGCTGAGTTGTAGGGGTTCTTTATACATACTGAACATTAATCCCTTATTGATAGGTGATTTGAAAATATTATCTCCCATTCTATAGGTTGTCTTTTCACTTTCTTGGTAGTCCTTTGAGGCACAAAATTTTAAATTTTGATGGAATCTAATATGTCTACTTTTTTCTTTTGTTGCCTGTACTTTTGGTGTCAAACCAAATCCAATGTCAAGAAAATTTTCTTCTAAGAGTTTTATAGTTTTAGCTCTTTGATCCATTTTGAGTTAAGTTTTATATAAATATGTGAGGTAAAGGTCAATGACATTATTTTGCATGTGGGTATCCAATTTTCCCAGTACCATTTGTTAAAAAGACTGTCCTTGAACTATTGACTGGTCTTGGTACCCTGACAAAAATGAACTGACCATATATTATACATGAAGGCTTATTTCTAGGCTTTTATCCTATTCCACTGCTCTGTCTTTATGAGAGTACCATACTGTTTTAAATACTGTAGCTTTGTAGTAAGTTACAAGTCAGGATCAGTGAGTCCTCCAACTTATTCTTTTTCAGGATTGTTTTGGTTATTCCAGGCCCTCTGCAATTCCATGTGAATGTGAGGATATGTTTTTCCATTCTGCAAGAAAGATGTCAGAATTTTGATAGGTATTGCATTGAATCTATAGGTTACTTTGAAGATTATTGATACTTTATCAATATTATATCTTCGTATATTTGAACATGGAATGCATATTTATTTTTATGTATATTTAGGTTATTTGTATTTATTTCCACTTATTTTTATTTCTTTCAGCAATATTTATAGTTCTCAGCATACAAGTCTTACACCTCCTTGGTTAAACTTATTCCTAATTGTTTATTTTAAATGCTATTGCTTTGTTTTTAAAAAGATCTTATTTATTCATTTCCAGAGAGAGGGGGAGGGAGAGAGAAACAAGGAGAGAAACACCAATGTGCAAGAGAAACATAAATAGGTTGCCTCTTACAACTCCCAACTGGGGACCTGGCACACAACCCAGGCATGTGCCCTGACAGAGAATCAAATCTGAGATCTTTCAGTTCACAGGCTGGCACTCCACTGAGCCACAACAGCCAGGGCAAAACTGCTTTCTTAATTTCTTCAAGTTGTTCGTCACTGGTATCTAGAAAAACAACTGCTAAGTATGTGTAGATCTTCAAAACCCTAAAATTTTGCTGAACTGATTTATTAGCTTTAGTTGCTTTCTTCTGGATTATTTGGAATTTTCTATGTACAAAAATATGTCATCTGTGAATAGAGATAGTTTTACCTCTTCCTTTCCAATCTGGATGCCTTTTATTTATTTTTATTGCCTAATAGCTCTGGCTAGAACTCCTAGCACAAAAGCTGAATAGCAGTGGTAAAACTGGGCAACCTTGTCTTGTTCTTGAACTTAAGGACTTAAGGGTAAAGCTTTCAGTCTTCCAATGTAAGTATGATGTTGGCTGTGAGCTTTTCATAAATAACCTTAATCATGTTAGGGAATTTCCCTTTCCTTTAATTTGTTGGGGTTTTTTGTTTTTGATTTTTTAATGAAAGACCATTAAATTTGTAAAAGCCTTTCCTGTGTCAACTGAGATGATCATGTCATTTTTATTCCTTCATTCCATTAATAAGATATATTACATCATTTGATTTGAATATGTTGAATCACCTTTTTCATTTCTGGGGTAAATCTTACTTGGTCATTTACATAATCCTTTTATAACATGCTGTTGGATTGGATTTAGTTTCCTAGTATTTGTTGAGAATTTTTCTGTTTATATTCATTAGGGATATTGGTCTGTAGTTTTCTCTTCTTGTATCTTTGTACTTATCATTATCCTTTCAATTTAAAACAAATTTCCATGTCTATGTTAAAATTCCTCCATCTCTTCACATACGTAGCCCACCTTTTCTACCAGATGATTTAGCACTTTATCATTGTTACATTAAATTATCTTTCTCATAACTCCAAATAGATATAGTTAGACCCTGCATCTGCTTCTATTGTTTTCTTTTTATTGTGGGTGACACTTTCGTTTGTGTGGCTATATTGTTTAACACATACAAGACATTTTGTATAAAAGAACTCTAAAGACTGAAGTAGAAAACCTTCTCCTCCAGAAGAAGGCATGCTACTTCATCAGGCCATAGTCTTTTTTGAGGCGGCTTTATTGCAGTTTTGGTTGGATTCCTCTGTTTTGAGATGGTAGTTTCCTGGCTCTTAGTGGAGGTCTTAGAAGCTTCGTAGAGATCTCTCCCCACTCCTACTCTTGGCCCCAAATGTATCCAAGAAAAAGATTTTTCTCTGTGGCTGTTTTAATACATTAATGTATTAATATATTTAAAAAGCAAGGGAACTATGGAATAATATGGGTTTATTAAAATAAATCCATTTTTCAGTAAGCATAGTGGAGGAGGTATCCAGCTCTTCAAGGCAGTGCTGATGGAGTTTCTGCTGCCCAGCCCCAAGAACCGTCAGTAGAAGCTGTGGTCATGAATCACCGTGCCAGTGATGATTTCACTATACCAGTACTAGGTAGGGTGGCTAGACAGAGTTCCACGCCATGTAGCTTCCAAGCCTGAGATTTATGAGCTCCCTTTAAAAAAATTTCTTTCCCTGCCAAAAAATTTTTCTCTTCTGTTTGTTGTGCTATGGTTTATAAAGTATCCTGACATGTGATATCAAATATAGAGTGCCTACTACAGTGTCTGGCATGTAGTTAGTAATAAATAAATGTTAGCCATTAGTATGCATTCATGATTCTAAGCATAGAATCAATAAGGGTTTCAAGTGTGTATAAGGATTTTAATTCTATGTGGTTCTTCAGGTGAATGCTTTATTCCTTCCCTGCTGGCCCAACCCTGGCTTCATAGTGGATTTTGTAACCAAGCAACATCATAATTTATTGATGTATCCTCCTCTACCCAGGAAAGGACATGAAGACTTTTGCCTATTATCAGATAATATAATTTACCCAGGATGGTTTTTAGTCCTGTAACATTTATAGAGAAGCAATTAAAGCCTGGACCATTGCAATAGCCTTATAACGGCTCTCCCTGTTTTCACTTTTGCTTCCCTACAGCCTATTCTCTGTCCATGAGTCAGAATAAACTCAAAGTATTAACCAAAAAATTTCAATCCCCTGTTCAGAACTATCTAATGGCTTCTTTCCACACTCAGAACTAAATTCAAATGCCCTGTAATGATTTACAAGACCTATGTGATCTAGGACCTGGCTAACTTGTTGCCTTACCTTATCCTACCCTATTGCTTACACACTCTGTTCTGGCCATCCTGGCCTTATTGCATGAACCATCCAAGCTCATTCCTAACCTCAGGGCCTTCACACTTAATATTTTATTCCTCTGGAATATTCTTCCCTCTTTTCCTCACATCACCTTACTCCTTCAGCTCTACACTCAAAGGTCAGCTCCTCAGAGAACTCCACCCTGTCTAAAATACTGTATCTCTGTCCTCTTATCCTGTTTTACTATTTAGTACTGATCACTAAAAAAAGTGTATTATATATTATCTGTCTTCCACAGTACCATGCAAGTTCCAAAAAGGCAAAAATGTTCTCTTGGTCACCACTCCACCCCTTCCCTCTTTTTATTGAGGATCTATTATGGAAATAACCCACACTGAATGTTATTGCTTCAGCCAGTATTATACAGGTGGCTCATAATAAAGAACAAAGTGGTATGTAGTAAACTTTAAGAAGTTAGTGACCTGGCTGGCGTAGGTCAGTGGATTGAGCCCGGGCTGCGAACCAAAGCATCGCAGGTTTGATTCCCAGTCAGGGCACATGCCTGGGTTGCAGGCCACAGCCCCCAGCAACCGCACATTGATGTTTCTCTCTCTCTCTCTCTTTCTCCCTCCCTTCCCTCTCTAAAAATAAAAATAAATAAATAAATAAATAAAATCTTAAAAAAAAAAAAAAAAAAGAAGTTAGTGAAGTCCTGGCTGGTGTGGCTCAGTGGATTGAGTGCTGGTCTGCAAACCAAAGGGTCACCAGTTCGGTTCCTGGTTGGGGTACACGCCTGGGTTGCAGGCCAAGTCCCTGGTGGGGGGTGCATGAGAGGAAACCACACACTGATGTTTCTCTCCATTTCTCCATCCCTTCCTCTCTCTATGTAAGTAAATAAAATCTTTTTTAAAAGAAAAAGAAATTAGTTAAGACACTAAAAAGGCAGGCATTTTTATACGTAATATAAGATGTATGAAAATAGATGATAAAAAGCAATTAAAATTCTAAGGAGAGAAAAGATAGAATTATGGAAACCAACTAAGAAGCTGAAGCACTAAAATCATGCAAACTCGAAGTTTAAACTAGGATGGAAGTAAGAACACAAATAGAAAATAGGAATGGAAAAAGGTGAATGCAATAAATCTTTCCTATGAGATCCTAGAGATCTTTGTAACTGACTACACATAAAATAAAGACAAAAACAGAGAAGTTAGAAGTTCTGAGCTTCAATATCCAGAAAAATGGTGGTATCACTAGCAAATTTAAAGAAAAAAAGGAAAAGTCGCTGATTTAGGCTTGGGAGGGAGAAAGGGTAATGTTTTCAATGTTAGTCATGCTATATTCAAGTTAGCAGTGAGACATCTAGGTGAAAACGTGAGGCTATATAATATGTACATTCTTTCAGCCCAGTCACAGCATTACTGCATAACAAACATGATGCTTTGCTATCTAATTAGATAAAATAATGCACAGTCTATTGTGTCTTGAAAGAATGACATTTGAAATTTACTTTCGTCTTCTTGTTTTGACATGATGAGTACGCACTGTGAAAGTTCCAGTATAATGAACAGACAGCAAGTGTCGGAGAAGATGTGATGAAAAGGGAATCCTTGTGCACTGTTGGTGGGAATGCAGATTGGTGCACCCACTGTGGAAAGCAGTATGGAGTTACCTCAACAAATTAAAATGGAACTGCCTTATGACCCAGTGATTCTACTTCTAGGAATTTATCTGAAAAAAAAAAAAAAAAAAACCCTAAACACTAATTTGAAGGAATATATGCACCCCTATTGTAAATAATTGCAGCATTATTTACAATAGCCGAGATTTAGAAGCAGCCCAAGCGTCCATCATTAGATGAGTGGATTAAAAAGCTGTTACTTGGACTTTAAAACAAAAAAAGGAAATCTTACCCTTTGCAACAGCATGGATGGACCTGGGAAGCATCATGCTAAGTGAAATAAGCCAGTCAGAGAAAGACAAGTACCATATGATTTCACTCCTATGTGGAGTCTAATGAATAAAATGAACTGCTGCTGTGCAGCCTGGTTCCTAACAGGTCATGGACTGGTACCAGCCACTGCATCCCATCCCATTTTTAGAGAAGCATTATGTTGCAGGCAATAAACAAATTATTGCTACTGTTAACACTACTCTCTAAAAACATCTAGTATCAGTACACTTCTCTTCACACCACCCTCTGCTTCACAGAAGTAAGCGAGCCAAGTTGTGTTTATGTATTGTTTCCATAGCAAAAGTCTGTGCCTGCTTAATTTAACTAAAGCTGGAGGGTTAAAGACTGAAGGACACTATAGGACAGACCAGAGCAACTTCAATAAGAAGTTCTATTATCAGTTCTGCTAAATGACTTGGTGGGGGGAGGAGATCTGAATATATTAGAAACATGACAACACATTGTAGAGATACTAAAAATACAAAATTAAATCTAATATAAATCTCTTTAAATGAAAAATGTGCACGTAACAGTATCCTATTAAAAAACCATCATCTGGAACTGGATCTTAGTGTACAATAAAATACAAAGTCTAAAAATAAAAATAAATCACAATCCCTATTTTTAAAATTTCAGTAATTTTGGGGATAAGACTCAAATATTATGCCTTAATAACACTTATCACTGTACAATAAAGTATATGTACAGTTTTATGCAATTTTTCCCATGTGCAGATTCAAGTAACCACCGTTATCAGTCAAGGTACAGAATTTTTCCACCACCACAAAAGAATGTTCTTGTGCTACCCCTTTATATTCTCAACCTTCAACCTACCCCTGTTCCCTGGCAACTGCTCGTCTAGTCTCCATCTATACAGGTTGGCCACTTTCAGAACAGTTTTTTTAAGAACCTGACACACTATCTTCCAAAATGGCTATGCCACTTTACATTCCCAAGAGCAGTTTATGAGGGATCCACTTTCTTGGCATCCTTGTCAGTAATTAGTACTATCACTCCATTTTATGTTAACTGTTTTAGTAAGCATGTAGTGACATCTCACTGTGGTTTTAATTTGCATTTTTTAAATTTTTAAAAAAGATTTGATTTATTTATTTCTCAGAGAGAGGGGAAATGAGAAAGAAAGAGAAGGAGAGACACATCGATCAGTTGCCTCTCACACACCCCCAAATGGGGGCCTGGCCCACAACCAAGGCATGTGCCCTGACAGGGAATCAAACCAGCGACCTTTGGTTTGCAGGCTGGCGCCCAATTCAGTGAGCCTTACCAGCTAGGGCTTGCATTTTTCTAATGGCTAATAATGTAAACAATCTTTTCACATGCTTAACTGATCATCTTTCTCCTCCCTAGTAAAATGTTTATTCGTGTCTTTTGCCATTTTCTATCTTAATTGCTTTCTAACGTTGAGAGTTCTTTATATATTCCCCCATATATATAATATATAAAATGTTGTTTTGAGGGTTCTTTATATATTCTACATATCAAGATCTAGAACAACAAGATCAGAAAATTATTTAGAATGTTAATCAAATTTTAACTATTGCTTGTTTCAGAGTATTTTAGATTTTTGGTAATTTATTGTTTTATTATTTCTACTTTTCTGTATTACCTGGTATGTATTCTATTTATAAACATACTTATGAGTAATATATTGCTTTATTCTATTTTCTGTATTATATGGATTTTAAATGAGCATGCATTATATTTATAAACATCTATTTTTTTTAAAATAAGAAAAACAACTATTTGATCATTATAATCTTTTTTCCCCAGCTGGAGAGTCAGTCCAGAAAAAATATTTTTTTTTTATTTTTTATTTTAATTGCTGTTCAAGTACAGTTTTCTGCCTTTTACCTCCAGAAATACCTTTTTCTTAAAGATTTTATTTATTTACTTTTTAGAGAGGGGAAGGGAGGAAGAAAGAGGGAGAGAAACATCAAAGTGCAAGAGATACACTGATCAGTTGCTTTTCGCATGCTCCCAGTTGGGGGCCTGGCATGTGCCCTAACTAGTAATTGAACCAGCGACCTTTTGGTTCACAGGCCATCACTCAATCCACATAGCCACAGCAGCCAGGGCAAGAATATCTTTTAGCCTATCAAGAAAAACTCAGTGTGAAGTGGGGAGGGTTGGGTGGGTGGGCTGGATTGGGAGTAAAAGGGAGAAAACTGTACTTGAACGATGATTAAAATAAAATAAATAAATAAAAATAAAAATTAAAAAAGAAAAAAGAAAAACTCAGTGTGGAAGTGCTGCCTTATCAACAAGGACACAAAACCTCAATAGATGCTTTCTGGCCTTTAATTTTCTCTTTCCAGGCTCAGTAGTACCTAACTGGATAGACTTCATCATTAACAGATGCATAGTTTCTTCAAAACATGCCCCCAAACTCTCATACCTTCACAACAGGGTGTCCACCAGTAGATGCTTTTACTGCTCCTCGGCTACCTTCAGTTTCATAATGGGCTCGATGATGAGTTTTAGGTTGCACTTCTATTTTCAGTTCACATTGTCCAAAATGAGTAGGTAAAGGCCAGTCTAGCGGAGGTAACGAAGATGTGCTATAAACAAAACACACAAAGATGCATTTCACCATACTATTATTGCCAAGCAGTGATTCAAATCACTTCTTTGCCAGCACCAACACTTCTTCCTGTGGTCTTGAAAACAAAAAATTCTAAAATAAAAATGCACTTAGTAAGTTATAACACTATATGGTAGGTACTCAAGAAGTAATTCTTTAACCTGAAGAATAAAATAAATTTTATCAACTTTTTTGGTTTTCTGTATTTTTAAAAAAGGACAAATTCTAACACTTGTAAAACTGCAACTGCTTCTCAACTATGTGTATATAATTACAAAAATAATCAAAATAATAATATTTTGATTTCTTAAAGCAAAAATGCAGATCTCTGTGTATGTATACCAGTATCTCTCCAAGGACCCAAAGGCCCCTCCCTATGTCTCAGGAAACTGTCTTCCTCCCTGGTATGAGGCTACAGAACTCAGTCTACGGTACATGTTGCTCTCCCCACTCCCCCCCATTGCTCTTTACCCTATCTCTCTGAAATATTGCTTATAGTTAGCAATATATTGCAATTTGAGGTAAAAATTTAATTTTAGTAATACTTAGCTTAAAAAATATTAGGCCTATCACGGCAGCATCTCTAAATGTCAATTTCAGAGAAACATGTCAAATGATCAGTAAGATAATTTCAAGAGCTTAAAGGGCTACAGGTTCACTTAGATATATTAACACTGAACATATGAAATTAGAAAAGAAACAACTTACGTATCTACAGGTCAAATATTAATGAACCCAAAGCTAGAAAGATTTTCATTAAACAGCATTATCTTCTCAGTAATGCAGGAAAAAAAAAAGACCATTTTAAGGTCTTTTATACCTTCTAAAATGCTAGAATTCCTACTGTGAATTTCTGAATCATTTCACCGATTCCTTCAATGTCCTCATCCTAGCTTTACTAGCCATTATGTAGCTCAATGGTATTAGTTTGTATTAGTCTGAAACAACTCAACTTCATCAACTCTCAGCTACTTTCTGCACCTGTGAAGACTTAAGCGAAGTCCTAAAAAAGATTAAGATAATTTTCAGAAGCAGATGGGCTCAAAGGTATCTTCAACACTATAATTTTACATTATATTTTCTAAAGATGTGGAGCCATAAATAAACATTCATACTAATGAAAAAGCCTTTTTTAAAATATAAACAAAAAGTAAAAAAGTAAACAGATGCAACTCTATGTAGTGATTTACTACATGGTAAAGTTGTCTTTTCTAATCAATTTTATTTATTTATTTTTCATTGTTGTTCCATTTCAGTTGTTCTAATCAATTTTATACTACATAGATTCTATAAATGGAACTGTGATGACTGATAAGCCCTTTGGAAAATGAAGTCATTACACTGTTCTTCAGCCCTTAGCTACAAGATTCTATATAAATATGTGTATATATATAAAATTTATAAATATAATATACTACTATAAATATTTATAATATGTATACCATACATGTTACATATATATATTATAAAAATATATTAGAAACTTTATTAGAAAAAATGTGAACATTAGATTTTCATTATTTTTTAATTACTTTAGAGTGGGATAAGGCTTTAAATATAACACAAAACCCAAAAGCCATAAAGGAAAACACAAATTTGAATACATAAAAATTAAAACTTCCTCTACACACTAAAAAAATTTACAAGCTTATAAAAAGACAATTTGTAAAAAAAAAAAAAAAGCCACTTGCCACAAATATGAAAAGGCAAATTTCATTTGTATCTTGAGGTCTTAAAAATATAAAAAGCCTATTATTCCCAGCTAGTTACATTAGTAATTTAATTCACACTATAATTCATCATTTACAAAAGCTTTTTTAGATAAGAAAATTCCTGCTAGCCCTGGCCAAGTACCTGAGTTGGTTAGAGTATTGTCCCAATACTCCAAGGTTGCGGGTTCCATCCCCAGTCAGGGCACATGCAAGAATCAACCAGTGAATGTATAACTAAGTAGGACAACAAATCAGTATTTCTCTTTCTCTCTCTTCCTTCCTCTCTCTAAAAATCAGTAAGTACAAAAACAAAAAAAAATTCCTTCTGGAAATTCTTAAATGTACTTTGTTATTATCTACAATTCATTATCTACACTTTAAAAATTATAACTTTAGCCTACCTAAAGATACTTTTAAGACCCAAAGGAAAATATATAGACTTAAAGTTATTTGTCTGGGAGAAATTTAAAAAAGAGAGAGGAGGAAAAATGTTCAAACCATTTCATATAGATAATGTAGTTTTACATGCTAGCAATAACCCGTAAGTATGAATGACAAGGCAGCCATTTCATCAACTCACCGAAATATAGGGGTGTGGCCAGGCTTGGGTTTGCTCCAGGTAAAGTGTGAAGGAACTGAAAGAAACTGGTCACCAGATGAGTCTTTCTTTAAAGGATACTGAGATCCAAGGCCATCATCTATTGAAGTCTCCCGAGATGGTGATAAACTCCCTTGATCATCTGAACAGAGCTCTAATTTTCCTGGTAGTACAGTAGCTTGATCTTCAGAAGTCTTCCTTGTTTTCAGAGGGATATCAGTCTCTAAATAGTACTGAAATGGTGGAAGAAGGGCAGGACCAAGCCCTGATCCACTTTGGACAGAAGCATTGAGCCAGGTATCTTCTGTTACACTTCCCCTTGGGGAGTGGCCAGGAGAAGGAACAGGTGAGTGATGGGGTGAAAGGGATCCAGCATAACAAACCTCGGCACTAGAGTGCCGCCGTTTCCCACAGGGGGAAGTAGGCCTTGATGAGGGTCCTGAAGCTGGTCTGGGACTCAGCCAATTCTCATCAGTGACACTAGATCTAGGAGAGTGGCAAGGAGATTGCCTGGGTGACAAGGAGTGTCCCAGTCCATACTGTTGATGCCAGGACTCTTCTCCAGGACAGCCCCCTGGGGAGCCACCAGGAGAAGTCAGAGGGGATCCAAGAGTAAATCGGGCAGCAGCTTCATTCAATTCTGAATCCACATCATCATAAATATGTGAAAGAGATTCACAAGATGACGCATCTGAGTACCAGCTCCTAGAAGAGATGCTGCTGGCAGGACTAGGACTAAGGGAAGACTCCCGGTAAGATGGCTCAAGAGGAAGATAGAGATGATCTCTAGAAGGCCTTTCCAAATATTCCTTTTCTGGGTCATTTATATGTAGGGCATCTTCAGGAGCATCTATTTCTTGATGACAGTTAGGAGAGATTGATGTGATCTGAATACTTGGGCACTCAAAGGGTTTGGGACCACCTAATGGGCTGTATTTAGATTCTGGAATCTCACAAGTTCCTTCATAGTTTTTGTGACCTTGGAGCTGAAACGATGGTGACAAAACAGAAGGATGAGACGGTAATCCATGATGGGGTAAGCAAAGTGGTGAGTTTAAAGTAGATGGAGGTGGATCTACATTAAAGATGTAAATGGATGCACAATCATCTGGCTCAAGATCTATGGGGGGGGGCAAAAAAAATCAATAAAACAAGAAATTAGAAAACTTAGATGTATAAATTACTAGGTGAGAAAGTAAATAATAATAATAATCTTGAGAGAAAATAGTGGGACATAAAAGGTACATCATTAGCTCCATTAAAGAGTGGTATGTGTTTTGCTAAATGTTTCTGTAAATATACATACTTATTACATATATATGTAATTATGTATAACTTTTTCTTTTCAAATTTTCTAAAATAAGAATCAGAAAACATTACCTGAAAAAAATGCTTTTATAAAAGAAATAATCATACCTATTAATTCTAAAAATATTCATAATTATAGAATGATATAATTTAATCATACAAATTCAGTCTCATCTAGGGTCTATAGGTTGAAGCAAGGTAAAGGATAAAACCAAGTCTTTGAAAGGTTTTTAGTTTTAAGTAAATTCATTTATTTTTAAAGATTTTATTTATTTTTAGGCAGAGGGGAAGGGAGAGAGGGAGAGAAACATTAATGTGTGGTTGCTTCTCTCACACTCCCCTGCCCCATCAGGAGCCTGGCCTGAAACCCAGGCAATGTGCCCTGACTGAATTGAACCAGCGACCCTTTGGTTCACAGGTCAGTGCTCAAACCACTGAGCTACACTAGCCAGGGCTACTCACTAAATTTATTAATGAAAAGGATTACTGAATCATCTCAAGACTCCTAGAATCTTGTTTGCCTCTGCCATTTAACTGTGAGATCTTAGTCAAATCACTTAATCTCTCCAAGGCCTTAGTTTCCTTGCAGTAAAATTCAAAACTTTTTGTTGTTGTTGTTAAGGGAATTGCTATGATTAACAATAGCAGCTTTTTCTTCCACAGTCACACTATCAAGAATTCATACTCTGGTCATCGTAGACCAGGTAATGAAAGCTCCACGATGCCACTGGATCATTTACCTCAACTAGAAAATAATTCATCAGGACCTTAACTTATGATTGGTTGTTCAAGTAATCCTAATAAGGACAGAACTTTCAAAATGCACCCCTTGCTGGAGTATTTACACTAAACAACTCCTGCCAAATTACCAATCGAGAGTGTCTGCAGCAATAAGGGCATTCTGCAACTTCACTTTTAGGGAGAAGTGATTATTATCTATTTTCACAGAGCTCTAGTACAAGGTACTGGTTGAACACCTTCACATTTTCCTAAGAGGTCCTCACTGGGAAACCAAAGACAAAATTGTTCATAGATGCAACAGAGATAAACACAAACTTTTAGCCTCTTCTCAAAAGTACTCAAGATCACATTGTTTCATTACCTCAGTAGCCCAGAAAGTAACCCACATCTTTAGTTAGACTCCTGGTGTTGCTGATATTAGCCAGCACACACCCTACAATTTAACCATTTAACTCTTTCCATAAGTTCTAGCTAGAATCTAGAGCTTTTAACATGTTGTGTGGTTAGTGAACATATTCAATAGAGTTTTTACATGTATTACAACAACAAAACAAAAAAAACCCATCTCCGTATTTTAAACTCTGGCTCTGCCAGTCCATAGCTGTGTGAACTTGGACAAGTTATTTAATCTGCTTGAACCTCAGATTTACGAGGCTGTTTTTTCTATTAAACTGGAAGGAGTTGAGTAGAGTATTACCTAAAACACACAGAACCATTTTTAAGACAAGCACCTAACACAATGACTAAGTGTTAGTGGAAACTCAATACAAGTCAATTACCCTGGCTTTTCCTTTTTAAAATTTAAGATGGGCCCCTGGTTGGTGTGGCTCAATGGACTGAGCACCAACCTGCACACCAAAAAGTCACTGGTTCAGTTCCCGCTCAGGACACATGCCTGGGTTGTAGGCCAGGTCCCCAGTTGGGGGCATGTGAAAGGCAACCGAATGATGTTTCTCTCCCTCTCTCCCTCCATCAATGTTTCTCTCCTTCTCTTTCTCCTTCTCTCCCTCCTTGTCTCTCTAAAAAATAAATAAAATCTTAAAAAAAAAAAAGGAACATGAACATCCCAGAACCCCCCCACTTTGTTTCTCTTCTAGGTCATTACCTTTCCATCAAGAATAACAATATACTGACTTCTACGTCTAGATTTATTTTGCCTGTATAACATACAACTTTGTCTTTCAATATTTTTTTTTACTTTTTACTGAATTTATTGGGGTGAAATTGATCAATGAAATTATTCAGGTATACTGTATACTGTATTGTATGTTAACCACTGTCTTTCAATATTTTTTTTATATTTAATTGAGCTTTATAAAGTTTCTACACAATTTTCAACCCAAGTGTCCATCAAAAGATGAGTAGATAAAAAAGTTACGGTGCATATATACAAGGGAATATTACTCAGCCATAAAAAAGAATGGACTCTTACCATTTGCAACAACATGGATGGACCTAGGAGGTATTATGCTTAGTAAAATAAGTCAGTCACAGACAGACAAATACCACATGGTTTACTTATATGTGGAATCTAAAAATAAATAAAACTGAAACAGACTCATTGACAGAAAAAGACTGATAGTTACCAGAGGGGCGGGGGGGGGAGCTGGGGACTGGGTGAAAAAGGTGAAGAGATTAAGAGGTGCCTAATTGGTAGTTACAAAATAGTCATGGGGATACACAATAAAGTATAGGGAATATAGTCAATAATACTGTAAGAACTACGTAGGGTGCTGGAAATATCAGGGGAAACCCTCTATAAAGTATGACTGTCTAGCCACTATACCGTACTCTTGAAACTAATACAAAATAATATTGTAAGTAAACTATACCTGAAAAATAAAATTTGAAGTCACTTATCATAGTTATTTCCTACATTTTAGTTTATAAATAATATAGCATTGACCATCTCTGTATGAAAGGCTTTATGTCTCCCTTTGTTGTTGTTGTTCTTTGGGGATCATTTTATTTATGTCTTATTTTGAATTAGCCTCCAAGGATAAATTCCTAAGGGTGGGGTTACTAAATCACAGGACGCACACATTTTCAGCACCCCTACTATGTAGAGACATTTGTTTTAAAAGACTTATTTTAATTTGTAACATTGGAAGGACATGAGTATCATCAGTTTTACTTTGGTTTCTCCCAATAGGATGCTATTTTTAATTTTAGTGTAATTTAGGAGTAAAATGGCTCTGTATAAAATATGATATTTCTATGCTGCAAAGAACAGAAAAATCAACTCAAAGTAGCTGGAAGTAGGGGAGAGTACTTACCATCCAATGCAGGGTCTGGCACAAATAATGCCCTTTTATTACAAAATCATAAGCATGTAATTCTGTAACATAACAATATCCCACTCAAGCACGCCACATGACATTTTAGGTGAAATGTTCCAATTGCTGTCCATCTCATGCAAGACATTCACATACCCTACCAACCACACTTGAGAACGCATTACTTCAGCCAGACCCTGTATAGTAAGAGTCCAAAGGTAGGACAGCTCCAGAATTGGTTATTTTATAAGTTCGATAAGGTCATCAAGAAAACATTTTCTTTCTATATCCCCATTATGCCACTTTTGAGGGTGCTAAGTTTGTGCTGTTCACTTTTCAACCATATATGTGTATTTTGTCCTAAACCAGAAGCAATGTGATCATTTAACAAATATTTCTGAGCAGCCACTATATAGATGTTATGCTCTAGACACTGAAAACACAACAGAATACAAAACAAAGCCCCCATCCTCACAGAACTTACATTCTAGTAACGTATGTTGGGTGGTGATATATAATACCGGGTTGGCCAAAAAGTTCATTTAGTTCTTTTCTATACAATAGCTCTAGTAGTGCTTACTTGTCTTTAACTTCATTTGAAACAATTTTGTTAGATTATATTGTGACAGCTGTCATATCAGTGTACATTTAAGAAAAACATCAAAATTGGTGAATTTTGGGGTAGCTATTTTAATACTGAAGATAGAAGAAAATATACAACATTTTTGGTGTATCATGCTTTTTATTTCAAGAAAGGTAAAAATACAACTGAAACGCAAAAAAGATTTGTGCAGTGTATGGAGAAGGTACTGTGACTGATCAAACATGTGAAAAGTGGTTTGCAAAGTTTCTTGGTACTACTGACATTTTGGCCAAATAATTCTTTGCGGTGGGACTGTCTTATGCATTGGAAGATGTTCAGCAGCACCCTTAGCCTCTACCCACTAGAAGCCAATAGTAGGAGAGAGCCAACATAGTCAAAATATCCAAATCAATAAAGTCATTGGTGAAAATAAAAAATGTGTCTTTATTTTACAGAAAAAACTAAATGGACTTTTTAGCTAACCCAACAAAAGGAAAAATAAAATAGGGTGAGGAGAACAGAGTGAGAAAATGAGAGAAAGTTAATTTAGATAGGGAGATCTGGAAAGGGTTCTTTCTCCAATATTTGAGGAGATACCAAAAGGATATTTGGAACTGAGCTATATAGAATCTAGGGAAAGAACAGTGAAGGTATAAGATACAGTGAGTGCAAAGGTCTGAAGATGGACTATTTCGGGAGTATATGATAAAAAGCAAGAAAGCCAGTGGGAACAGAACTGAGGAGTTTGAATGAGAAGGGATGGGGTGGGAGGGATGACAGTAATTAGTCAAGTATCCTAGAGACCAGTAGAATGGCTGGTTTGTATTGGGAGATGAGAACCCACTGGAGGGTTCTAAGCAAGGAGTGTCATGATCTGATATTCATTTAAATAAAAGACTACTGCAATGATCCAGGTACAAAATAATGGGGCATGGGACCTGGGTGGTGATGGTGTGTAAAAAAAGAAAAGCAGTAACAAGTGAGATTTTTTTTTATTAAGGGAGAGCTGAAAACTCACTGATGAATTGGATGTGAGCAAGGGAAGAGTCAGGCTGACACCAAGGTTTTGGACCTGAGCTATTATTCTAAGAACTGCATTTCTAGCTCTGGCCAGGTGTCTCAGTTGGTTGGAGAGTCACCCCATATACCAAAGGTTGTAGGTTCAATTCCTGGTCAGATCACATTCCTAGGTTGAAGGTATGATCCTCACTC